TGTTTGTCTGGTAACATATGGGTGTGGGAAGCAGGAGGTGGGACACTCACACAGGTCCACGTATGCTTCTCAGTGTAGATCCTCCAATGCTAGCTTGTTTGTTTGTATTTTGAGAAAAGGTCTCACTATGGAGTTCAGGCTAGGCTTGAACTCACTGAGTAGCCCAAGTTACAATCCTCCTGCCTCAGCCTCCTGAGGGCTGGGATTACAGATGTGTGCCGCAATACCCAGTGAGATGCTTCTTGAAGTCTACAGCATCTGGGTTTCCCAGGATGTGTCCGTGAGACTGAGTGGCTGAGGTCCCTGAGCTTGTGCTATGAATGGACATGTGTTTGTGTAAGACAGTGTGTACCCAGCTCCTCTGCAAGGCATGCTGGCAGTCCTAGGAGCTCCTCATCCACCCAGACCACGTAGCCACTGCCTCACATTTTCCATCTAGGAGGAGCATCCCCGCCCACTGTGACAGACAAACAGCTGAGGATTCTTAGAGACCCAGGATTTGGAGCAGGCTCCTGCTGGCTACCTCTCAGTCCATGGAGGAGCCTAGGACTCTGGGCCAGCCTTCTCCCCTACCCAGTGAAACACTGCAGCTCTCTTTTCTGCACCATCCAGCAACTGAAAACAGAAGAGCTACACATAGTGGCCTGTGGTATGGCCCTGAACCTGGGTGGCACTCAAAAAATATACTGAATGAATGAATGAGGAGCAGGTTAGAGAAAGACGAGGAACAGGGTGGACACTAACATTTCCTAAGTGCCGAAGGGTTCTCCTGCCACTGGGCAGGCATGCTTATCCCCCAGAAGACACAGCTGCTCATACGGGGACCTAAGCACACACACCCTACCCCCACCTGCAGGCTCCAGGCCCTCAGCCTGTCTTACATCAGTTGCACTCTACAAATCTTAGTCTAGAGCCTGGCCCACGACAGAATTCCTCTCACCAGCCCATGTCCCAGACACACTTGGCAACACAAAGCTCACTGCACTGGTCCCACTGCAGAAGGAACAAGCCCCTGAGATAGACCAGCTGGGGTTGGAATCCTGGCTGCATGACCTGCAGCCTCCATTTACACAGCTGTATAATGGCAATTGGAATCAATAAAGTGCTTCTCCTGGGTCCCTCTCAATAGACATCTAGGTTGTCAGTACCTCAAGCACAGGTCTAGAATGTCAGGGAGGTGGAGAGCCTGGTTTCCCAGGAGGCACCTGCAGAGTAGAGAATGCAGTCACACCTTCCTGTCATCCCTGGAGCAGCTCCTGATTTATTAATATTCTAAAGCTAAGGAAATCCATCCTCCTTTTCTAGTTCCTCAAAGAAGGAACACAAACATTCCGCCTGCTCACTGGCTAAGAGTAACGATTCCCCATGAGATACGAGTTTCATTGCTTGCAAAAATGTTTTCTTGGGCTGGGGATTTAGCTCAGTGGCATAAGTGCCTGCCTGGCAAGCACGAGGTCATGAGTTCAATCCCTAGTACCACAAAAAAAAAAAAAAAAAAAAAAAAATGTTTTCTTGTCTATACCTCCCTGACTGCCGAAAACAATCCTTTGAGGTTGTGCAGACAAGGAACTCAACATAGGCCAAGTGATTTGTCCATGGCCACATAGCAAACAACACAGTCTCGTCTCAGAGCCAGGGCTTTGGGCTTCAGCTCTGAGTGGCATGACCTCACCGCAGAATAAACAGGTAACTTTCAGTGTCATGGGTGACCTCAGACCAGTGGGGTTCTCAAGGTCTACACCATTGATGTACCTGCTCTGCAGATAAAGCTGCACCCCTGGACATGGAATCTCTACAGTAAACAACCTTCAGACTTTCTTGAAGAGCAGGGACCCAAGGCCAGGTAGCTCAGCTGTAGCCACCACTTAAATCTGCCCCGAACAGTGCTCAAGAAATCACAACCACCATTTCAGAATGTTTACAAGCTGCTTTCTGCAAACCCTATTTCTGTATCAAAGCATCCAAGGTCATCCACCCTCTGAATATTTCAAGTGAGCTCTCTACTTCTGTAGAAGTCCCTTCTGTCTTTTCATTGAGAGAGAGTTGTCTTATTTATACTTTACTCATTTGGGTCACAGGGCAGGACCTCATAAGATGGGAGATCTGGAGCCACCAGAGAGTCCTTCCATGGTTGACAGTCCTCAGTGTCCCCTAGTGCCCAGCTGGGAGATGAACTTGAACAGGGCCACCAATGGACTCAGGTATTCTCTGCTCAACCCAATACCAGCTTTCACTAGTCATGATGGCAATCTGGAGTCTTCTCCCCAGTTACCCAATTTCTGCCTATCAGAAACCAAGTGGATCAGAGAGGCAAGAAACAAGTCAGAATCTAATACACTCTCACAACCCCTAACTGCTAGGAGAGCTGGCTCTGAGACCTGGAGCAAGTCCCTTTCCTGCTCTGGCCTGTTTACTATCTGCAGAATGAACAAAACTATGCCTCCTGTCCTAACCCCTGTACTGATGGCCCACATTCAGTTTTTATGCTTGTGTGAGGTCAGCAGTCAGGTAAACAAAACTCAAGAGGCGTCACGGGACTGGCCCAGGAGCACACAGCAAGAATGAGTGTCATCTGCCCTTGCTCCCCTCCCTCATCACTCTCCTTCCCTGCTCTGGCCTCATCCCTGTCCTTGAACTCCGAAAGCCTCTTCCAATTTCTCTTCACGTTCTTACTGTACCTCCTTACTCAGCTGGCTCCATGCCATCCCAGCTGTGGGCCTCCCTGAACCCTGGCTCTACCTTCATGTGCTCTTGGAACACTTACCCCTCTCCACCCTTACCATGATCTCCATTGTGCTTTATCTTGTGACTACTGTTTAACCCTGGTCTCTCTGCAAAGCTCCTTGAAAACAGTTTAGGCTTGTTCCCATTTGAAGTCCCAGATCTGCACTAGTACCCAGCAGGCCCCATAGGCATACCTGGTGAATGAATGAATGAATTAATGAGAGGCTAGGAGAAAAAACTCAGCCTGTGACAGGTGGGGGGGAGGATCGACACTACACACCTACAGAACCCACGTGATAGGTGCTCTGCACATCTCTTGACAATAGCAGTATCTCAGGTACTCCTGACTGAGGCAGACTGCATGTCAGGCACTCTGGTGGTGTTTGTATACATTATCTCATCTAAGTCTTAAGGATGGAAGATGTGTGATGGTCTCCCTTTTACACATGACAAAACTGGTCCACAGACATTAAGGAATTTGTGCAAGATCAGTTGGGGAAGCTACAGATCCCAGTCCAATAGTGGCCTGAGGCTTATGCATGAAGCCTAAACAACAGAACAGATGGCAGAAACAGAGGCTCAGTCCTAGCCCAGGCAATGGCTTGTTTGCAACAGGGCCCTCGGCCCTGTGGGACCAGACTCAACTCCCAAACTCCCAAACCAATTTCCCTTCTAAACAGTCCCAAGAGGCCCAGACAGATTATGGGGTGCTACATGATGACCTCCTGAAACAGAGGGGCCCTGAGATGAGTAATGAAGAGACCGTGATGCAAATCACTGTGACCCCATCCTTCTCTGCCAGGGTAAGCAGGGAGGGTAAGGGGTTCAGGGCCTGGATATAGAGCAGCTAAGGCAGAGTACTGGAAGCATCCAAGGCCAGGACCCAAAGGTGTTTTTACTCCTCCCCTTCCTCCTCTTCCCCATCCTCCACTTGCTCTTTTTTCACCACTGGTTTGGAAAGATTACAAGGGCTGTCACAACTTCTGATTGTCAACACTGAAAGGGCCTTTGGGAAGACTCATCTTCCCACTTAACAGATGAGGAAACTGAGGTCTGCCCTGAGGCTGAAGGGGCAGGTTATCCTACTCCAGACAGACCCTAGTCTACAAGCATTTACTGAAAACACGTGAGAGACACAACTGAGAAAGATGACAACACTCTTAAGGAGGGAGAAACCTTTAGCCAAAAGCACCACATAGCAAAGTTAAGTGCTGCGGGCAGACATACATCAGAGTGCTGTTAATTCCCTGGCTCCCAGCCAGGGGCACTCTGGGTGCTGTGCCAAGCTATCAACTGACAAGTGCAGGCAACATTTCTGTCTCTTCCAAAACTGCCTGGCCTGGGGCAGTAGAACTCAGGATTCCAGCTTCCCAGAACAAGGTCAGCACGAGGGCTGGACTGTCCCTACAGCTAACATCAGGGCAGTAGCAGGTAATGGAGATTGGTCTTCACCCTGAGGTGCTCATGTCCACTGAAAGGGCCAAGGCAAAGCCTGTTCCCTGGGAAAGTCCCCACTTGTCCTCCGGGAATGCTCCTCTCAGGCAGGAGGCTTCCCTTCTCCCACTGGGTTCAGGGAAGACCAAAAACAGTGCCCAAGAGGGGCCAGTGGGACAGTAGTGCATTCAAGATCTGCAGCACACAATACACTGCGATTTGGGAAGCTGCCTCTGAAACGGTTCTCCCACGACGTCAACCTTCCAGGCTGTGGGACCGTTAGACTGGGAGGAAGTGGACTCTAGCCAAGGGGATGTTCCCAGATGTCATGCTTTCAAACTGGGCCCGCCCTGAAGGCAGGCAGGGACAAGCCCGTCCTGGGGAAGCCCTGCATAAAGACTCAGAATTGTGTTCCAGCCTCTCTTTGGCAGGGGATGGCCACAGGTTTCCCTGGCAGCCTGCTCACCAATGCCTGCCCGGGAAAGGAGAGCCTCCACAACCCACAACCACAGCTTGCTGGTCTGGGGGCGGGGCTCCAGGTGCTGAAGGCTCCAGAAGTCCGGCCCCTCACTGCTTACCCACCCCCACCCATCCAGGAATCCTCCAAATCCCTGCTCCCCAAATCAGGGCCTTCTGAAAAGTGGCCTGCCAAGTCCATCTTCAGCAGAGGGCTTCCCAAATAAAGTAGAGAGAAGGGAGAGGGAGCCTTAGATTGCCCTCAGGGCAGTTCTCAGTGAGTCTGGGTCCCCCGTCCCACCTCGTTCAGTGGCAAAGTGGCCGGCTGGTGCCTCAGGACCAGGGGCCCATGACAGCCCGCCCCACCATCCACTTGGCGCCCCCACCTTGAGATAGTCGTTCTCGGAGCGCAGCTCCTCCAGCTCGCGCATGAAGCTGCCGGGCCCGCAGTCCAGCATCTCCTCGGTGAGGTCGGAGAAGGCGAGCGAGGCACTGAGCGGCAGGCGGCTGCTGCCCACCGACGACGCGGCCACCGACGGCTCCTCGGGGGAGGCTGGCGGCCGTGGAGGTTGTTGCGTGGCCGGCGCAGGCTGAGGCGGCTGCCCGGTGCGGGTCCCCGCCGGGGCCCCTGCCGCCGACTCGGCGTCGCTGCTCAGCGCCAGCTCCAGGCCCAGCAGGCGCGCCTCCTCCGACGCGCAGTCCGACACTTCCGAGCTGCTGTCGGTGAGGCTGGGCGGAGGCGGCGGCGGGCGCGGGCCCGCACCGGGGCGCGGACGGCCCTTGGCGCGGACCCCGGTGCGGACCCCGGCAACTCGCGTCCCCGCACCCCGCACCCCGGGAGCCACCGCGCGCCCCTTCTTGTCCGGCCGCGCTGAGGACGCGGCGCCACAGGCGGCAACGGCGCCCGGGCCTGGGCCGCGGCGGCCCTTGGCCAGCGACCAGCCGGCCACGTCCTTAGGCCGGGCCGGCGACGGCGCGCGGTGGCTCTTCTTCCTCTCCGGGGTTGGCGCGGGCGGGGGGCCGCAGCCCCGCGTCGGGGGCTCCACCGCCGGCGCCTCCATCGCGGCCTCCCGCGCTCTCAGCGCGCTGCGCGCATGGCCCGCGCCCGCCCGGCCTCGGCGTGGCTCCGGCGACTCGGGTCGCGACTGCTCTCGGGCTCGCTCGGCCCGGGGCCTGAGCTCCGGCCCAGATCCCCGCCGCGCGGTCTCGGCACCGCTCTGTGCGCGGAGGGACCGGCCCGACCGCCTCCAGGCGCCCCGGCTGCGGCTGCGGCTCCGCCCGGCGCCCGCCCCCTCGGCCTCGCCGCGCCCCCGGAGCGCACCCAGACCCCCGCCGCCTCCTCGCCGATCGCCGCCCCGGGCTCCGAGTCCGGCTGCAGCCCGGGCCCCGGCTCCGCCCGGCGCGGCCCGCCCCCCGCGCAGCCCCGCCAGCTCCCCGCCCCGCCGCCTCGGCTCGGGGGCGCGCGGCTCCGCGAACAAAAGGCGGACGCGGCGGGAGCGGCGGGGAGGGACGCAGGCACGGAGCGAGGGAGGGATCTGCGAGGCAACAGCGACCCCCTCGAGGGTCAGGCGGGCCGGGGCAGCCGCGGCCCTGGCTCGGTCCTCCTCGGCTCGGCCGCCGCCCCCTCCGCCGCGGGCCGGGAAGTCGCACCCCGCGGAGTCGCCGGGACGCCCGGTGGCCTGGCAGGGGCCGCGTGCGCGGCGGGGGCCAGAATTCCCCTGTGGAGCCCGGCCGGACCTCAGAACGCCGGAGGCAGCATCCATGCACACCCCGCACCTCGCCCCGCGCCCCTCGTCTTGTGCTGAGCCTGCGCGAACTCCGCCCCCTTTAACCTCGCGGAGCGCAGCCGGGATACCCCTGTGCAGATGCGAAAGCTGAAGGCCCGCGTAGACGCGAGATCGCCCCGGGGCCCAAAGCAGAGGTGGGGACAGAACCCAACCTCAGGCCCCCAGGGCATGCTCGGACTCCAGCCTAGCTTCCCTCCTCCTCCTTTAGGGACTGTGGAACCCGGAGTACAAGCCCGGGTGCCATGCCTCACCGCCTGCAATGCTCCCCTCTCCCCTATCCCGCTTTCACCCAGGTTTCTGGCCCTGTACAGCCAAAATGGAGGCGACCCATTACCAGTGGATAGTTTGGGAGTAGGTTTTGGCCCCCGTGAGGGCTGACATAAGGGGGGAAGTTGCCCCGAACCTTCTACAGATCTCCCCGGACCCCCCACCCCAAAAAGCCCGGGCTCTCGTGGGCGTGGTTTCTTTCCTTCGTGGGTCGTCTCCAAGGTTCCTTGATGAGCTGTGGATTTTCCAGTCTGTTACAGCTTTCTCCAGCCGCCCCACCTCCCGCACAGTGCCTCTATACTCCAACCCCGGACCACAGGGCAAGAGGTTGAGTCAGTTCTTTAGCTGCCCTAGGACTGGTGGCCAGCCTCAGAAAAGCCACCTCGGGTCCCACGAGGGCAGGGCTCCGTCCCCCTCTTCTTCCCTTAGTCCCGTCTGCTTTCTCTCCACCTCCCCTTTTCCCCCTCTTTTCCTCCCCTGCCCATTTTCTCCTTCCCCCTCCTCTTTGACCTCTTCTTCCCCCCTCCCCACAAACAACACACTTGGCACCAAGTCCACTCTGTCGTTGTTCTCTCTTTTTTGAATCAGGAATCAAACTCATGACCTGTGCTTGCCAGGCAGGCGCCCTGCTGCTGAGCTAAATCCCCAACTCCTCAATCTCCTTTTAGGGATCCCTTCTCACCCCAAGCATCATGACTTCATCCAGATCCACCTGTGTGAGAGCCCCATTGGTGTGGTGTGCTATAGAGAGATGCTGTGTCGTCTTGGAGATTTTTGCCTCTCTCTGTGCTTTGGTTTCACTTCCTGGGCAGATGTGAACTTGTAGGTGTGAGTCCATGCAAGGTAGCCACTCCTGACACACCCGTGGCCACACAAGTGATCCGAGATTGGAGTGGTCTGCCCCTCCCTGTTTGGACCAGGGCCTGAGTCCTGGCTCTATCACCCATCCTTTCTACATCCCAGCTCCTGGCTGAGCAGAAGCTGAGGATTCTTCCTGCTCTGTAGTTGTTTGGATTTGTTTGGACAGCAAAGCCCGGTGGGGAGGAGCTGAGGGGTCAGGTGGAGTAGAGATAGGGCTCTGGACTCAATTCACAACAGATATGCCCGGAGGAGGTGAGACTTGCTGGGAGTACAGAACTGCCCTCTGCTGCCAGCAAGCCCCAAAGCTGTCTCGCACAGGCCACTCACTATGTGCCAGGCTCCTCTGGGCTCAATTTTTTTTTCAGTAAAAGATCTCAGAATCTCTCTCTCTCTCTCTCTCTCTCTCTCTCTCTCTCTCTCTCTCTGTCTGTCTCTCGCTGTCTGTCTCTCTGTCTCTGTCTCTCTCTGTCTGTCTCTCTGTCTCTGTCTCTCTCTGTCTGTCTCTCTCTGTCTCTGTCTCTCTCTGTCTGTCTCTCTCTGTCTCTGTCTCTGCTGTCTCTATCTGTCTGTCTCTGTGTCTATCTCTCTGTCTCATCTCTCTGTCTCTCTCTGTCCCCCTCTCTCTGTCTCTCTCTCTGTCTCCCTGTCTCTTTGTCTCTCTGTCTCTCTCTGTTTCTCTGTCTCTCTTTCTGTCTCTCTCTCCATCTCTCTCTACAAAGTTTCATTATGTTGCTCAGGCTGGCCTTGAACTCCTGAACTCCTGAATTAAAGTTATTCTGCCTCAGCCTTCCAAGTAGCTAGGACTACACCACCATCCCCTGGCTTAGAAATACTAAAGAACTTCTTGTAGCTCACTGCATTTTTTCTCAACGATAAGCATGCTGATACATGTCTCATCCCAGTGGCTCTTTTTACAATTTGTGACATTGACACCTCTCTACTTGAGTGACGAGGTCTGTCCTCCCTGCCCTTAAGCCTGGACAGATCTCTGTGACTGTCCCAACCAATAAAACATGGTGAAAATGATACCCTGTGACTTGCAAGGTTAGGTCTTAAAAGCCAGTGTGGCTTCTACTCAGCAGCAGCACCTGTCTCTGTTTCTCCACTCTTTGCCTTTCTCCCTCTCTCTGTCTCTGTCTCTGTTTCTGTCTCTGTCTCAGTTCTCATCTGGGGAGAAAGTCCAGGCCACATGAGATGTCCCAGTGACACCTCAGCTCTGGCCCCCACTGGCCACCAGACACAAATTGATTCAGCTCATCTCTGAGCCACCCCAGCTGACAAGAGGAGATCTGAGTTGGCTTAGTGATCCTGTCCAAACTGCAAAACAAATATTGTTTTAAGCCATCAAGTTTTGGGACTGTTTTATTATACAGCAAGGGATATCTGGAATGCATGACCAATGTCACAGAGCTTGAAAGTGGCAGGCCTGGTTGCTTTGAATCTAGGTTCACCCAAATTACAGAGTTTAGGGGCTACAAGCTACCCAGTTCAGGCACCCCATATGTACTATGTAAAGCTCTGGTCTAGAAGGAAAGAAGCACTAAATGATTATAAGAATTCATGTGACAGAGTATAAGCAACAAAGGTGACAATTACCCAAGTGAAAAAATAGTTTCATTTCTATTCAAACTGGTACACTGACCAGCCAGATGGAAGCTGGTGGAGACTAACTCATGGGACACCTCCAAGAGGAGGTGATTTGTTTTCTTTTTCTTTCTTTCTTTCTTTTTTTTTTTTTTTTTTTTGTGTGTCTTTTTCCTTTTTATTGGTACCGGGGATCGAACTCACGACTGCCTGCTTGCAAGGCAGGCACTTATGCCGCTGAGCTAAACCCCCAGCCCCGGTGATTTGTTTTCTCTTTTTTTTCAAATTTTTTTCTTTTTTTTTGTCTTTCGTTTTTATCGGTACCAGGCGCTTATGCCACTGAGCTAAATCCCCAGCCCCTGTGATTTGTTTTCTAACAAAATAACTTTTTTTTTTTTTTTTTTTTTTTGTCTTTTTCATTTTTGTACCAGGGATCGAACTCATGACTGCCTGCTTGCAAGGCAGGTGCTTATGCCGCTGAGCTAAATCCCCAGCCCCCAAAATAACTTTCTCAATCATATAAATCATTAAAGGAACTAGCTGTTGGCTGAGGGATTCTTTTTTTGGGGTACGGGGATCAAACTCACAACCTCACCTCATGCTTGCCTTGCAGGTGCTTCTGCCTGCTGAGCTATATCCTAAGGATTCTTCAGAAAAGCTTTTTAAAAAGATAATCAATGGGGCTGGGGATTTAGCTCAGTGGCATAAGTGCCTGCCTTGCAAGTGCGGAGTCGTGAGTTTGATCCCCGGTACCGGTAAAAAAAAAAAAAAAAAAGATAATCAACAAGGCCTCTCTGAGGAGATGGCCTTTAAAATGAGTTATTCAAAGGGCTAGGAGATAGAAGAGAATGTCAGGCAGAAGGAAGAGAAGGCCCAAGGCCTTGAAGAAGAAGGAAGCTTGATAGATGTCAGAGAGTCAATGCGGTTGGAACCCACTGAATGATGAAGGAAAGGGAGACAGTGTGCAGGGGTGAGCACAGGAGTGAGGGCCTGCCTGGACAGGGTGGGTCCCCCGTGCAGTGGCAGCCCTCAGGGAGCACAGGCCGGGAGCCATATGGCCTCATTTATGTTTTGGAGTAAGTAGATCGTTCTGCCGCTGGCTAGGAAGAGGTGCTGGGAGGTTGTGGGCCGCTAAACCTGTCCCGGGGAGCTGAAGGCAGCTCGGATGAGGCTGGAAGCGGCAGACAGCGCAGGAAGAGAGTCATCTGGAGTTGTGTGCCAGGGAGTCGACAGTCAGCGCCACCAGCTGGCATTGAGGAGTCAGAAACAAAGTCAACCAAGTCCCTGATTTCTGGCTTTAGTGGTGGGACAGAGCAAAGGATGACCCACATTCCACAGCAGGAAAGGTAGGCTTGAAGGTGCTCAGAGGGCAGAGAGGACTAGGCTTATGGGGGGAGTGAAGAGGTTCGGGGGGGCCATGTCCAGTTTGGGTTATCTATGGAGACATCTAAATGGAGAACTCAAATAGATAAGCGACATTCAAATGTGGAAACTGGAACCCGGAGCCGCCAGTCATTAGCACTTAGATAACACGCAAGTCCTCGAGGCCAGGTGAGGTCATTTAGGGAGCAGGTCTGTGGAAAGAAGAAAAACTGGCCCTGAAACTAGAGATTTAAGGATTCCTGGTTCTAGAAAATGGGTAAAAGAGGAAAAACCAGCTGCAAAAGACAGAGAGGGCGTGGCCAGGAATGAAGCCAAAGGGAGAAGGGAGGCCAGTGGACACTGGAGGGGACCCTGACAAGAGCAGGGCTGTAGGACAAAAGGACCAGAAGTGGACTGAGGAGGGAACAGGAGGCAGAGCATAGGGAAAGGAGAAACAGAGCGGCCGGGGGACCACGAGGTCATGGGGAGGGTCAGGCAGGGGCTGGGAGAGAAGGGCTGAAGGGTGCGGCAGAGCCAGGGCGGGGGCCTGGCTCCGGACAGGAGCAGGGCTGTCTTCCCAGGTCCTGGGCGTGCAGGAGGGTGCGGCTGCCTGGCAGGACTTCTGTTTGCTCAGTGAGGAGGGCTGTGCCCCTCTGAGGCAAGGGAAGGAGCGCGGCCATGTGAGGAGGCCGAGGATCCTCTAAAGAGAGCCTCGAGGGTGCAAATTTCACGGCCTGTGAGCACACATGTGAGAGTGCGCATGTGTAAGGGATCCGTCAGGCCGCCTGCTGCACCTGTTAGGGTTCAACGTGAAGCGCTCGGAAATGTGGATATTTCTCTTGAATGTCTTCACCTTCCCTTTTCGTCGCTGCAGTTGTGCATTGCTGTTTCCTAGTGTAGGTACAGAATAGTGATGTTCCCGCTGGGGAGCTGGTATCCGCATAGAGCATATTTCCATTTGCAATCCGTTTCCTCCCCACCCCTCCCTCTTCTCCATGTCCACGAGTTTGCCCCCTAGTTTCCAATCTTCTCTCCTTCAGCTTCCTCGCTCCTTTTCTTACATTGCATTTCTCAGATAAGAGGAATATGCTGTGTTTAGCTTTCTAAGTCTGGCTTACGTCACTTAGCGATGACAGTCTCCGGTCTGCATACCCAGTTCTGGGCAAACATCACTTTTGACACTCGGAAACAACCCACTGAGTGAACGTTCCCTGGGTCGCTCACCGTTCCCCTTTCCTTGGACACTTACATTCTCCCTGGAGATGACAGGTGCCATGAGATCTGGCAGAGGAGAGAGAAGACAGGCTGCAGGCAGAGCGGTGCCAGGCTCTCTGGTCCTTGAAAACCACCATGGCAGCTTTTTAGGGGCTGCTGTTTAGCAAGGATATTCCTGCCAGGCCCCATACTGAGTTTTCCTGGACAAAAGGACAGAAAGTGGGACAGCCAGGCAAACTCCACTGGCCCTGCAGTGCCCACGGGTAAGGCATTAAGCTCAGGGGAAGTGGGGTCGGAGAGGCACTGGGAGAGAGGTGACAGCACACGCCAGGAGTGTAGCACCTGGGCTGTTTACAGCTTCAACACAATTCGTAACAGCCATGTTTGAGGTGGCAACAGGGCCTGTCCCTCTCCTATTTTCCCCATAATAGAAGTCCTTTTGTTCGTACCTCAAACTTCCTGGTGGAGTACTGACCCAGGACAGGGTGTCTGGGGACTGAGGTCGGTGAGACAGGGTCCCTTTCAGGTGTGTGAAGACGGAGTGCCTGTGGACAGGACAGGACAGGACAGGACAGGACAGTCTTCACCCACCCACAGAGTTTCCTACAGCAGCAGGGGGCAACGGGAGGGAGCACAGTCTTAACCTTGAGAGAAGAGTCCTCAGTGGTGGGCATCAGACACCCACTGGCATCTGGAAGTGAGTGAAATCTCCACTCACGTAAGAGCCAAAATGTTCAGGGTTCCCTGCCTCTGTGCTGAGGGAGACAGGGTTGGGGACCAGATGGTGACAAGGTCTGCTTTGTGTGTTTGCGGGATTTGAGTTTCTGTTTTGTGCACTAATCACTGACAGCTAGAGCTGGGCAGGCGCAGGGCCAGGGCCCACCACGGTCCGGGCAGGTATAAAAGGCAGGCGTGAGGGCCTGGCCTGGATCCGGCTGAGGCCAGGGACGAGAGTTCAGAGCCAAAGCTGCCGCAGCATAGCTGACTTCCAGATAGGCAGTGGCTGTTCTGGGGGTGGCCCGCTCTCGGGGGACCAAGCAGGGATGCAGAGGAGATTGAGAGCCCTGGCTTGACAAGGGGAGCCCCTTCCCCACCACCTCCTCAGCGGCACCGGGTGGAGGCTGAGCAGGGTCTAGCTGGGGATTTGGGCCTGGATTTCCAAAAGTGGGAGGGGTCATAACCACTGTCACCTGCTCTACCCTCTAAGTGCCAGGTGCTGTGGGTTGTCTCATGGAGTTGAGGAAGAGGTGATGGAGGCCTGGTTTCACATCCCAAGCTTTGAGGCATTATCTTTATTTCCTTTCTTTTTCTTTTTTTTAAAGGAGGAAGAATTTATGGAGAGGAAGATAACTTCTTTCTAAGAGGAACAAAAGAGGGCTCAGAAAGTGGGTTGTCCTATTATTCTTGTAACACCCTTAGGAGTAGCTGCTAATATTTTATAGATGTGGAGACTGAAGCAGAGACATTAAATACCTTCTCTAAGGGCACATAACACACAGCTAAGTGGTAAAAACCAGGATTTGAACTCCTGGATCCAGAGGAGGCTGTGTGTGTGTGTGTGTGTGTGTGTATGCGCGCACACACAAGTGTGCTAGGGGTTGAATCCAGGGCCTTGGGCATACTAAGCATGCATTGTATAACTGAGCCACATCTCCAATTCTGCAGTAACTTCTTTTTTTTTTTTTTGCTGAGGATTGAACTCACAACCTTGTGTTTGCCAGGTAGGTATTTATGCCGCTGAGCTATATCCCCAGCTCTCCTAGTAACTTTTGCATGAGAAAAAAAATTTATCTCTCAGTCCTGCACATGCTAGACAAGGGCTCTATCACTGAGCTCTATCCCCAGCCCAAAGTATTGTTTTCAAAAGCTTTTATCCTTTAATCAGGGCATGCCTTTTCAAGCTTCGATTAGGATTCACTCACGGGCTTTGAGGGGCTGAGCTGCAGGTGTCAATCTTGTGAGGGCTCCAGAATATCTGGTCTAATGTGTTAGATGTTACCTGTGGGGAAACTGAGTTCCAAGGGTGTGGATGTGCTTGTTCTCAATCATACAGAGTAGCAGAGGCCCTGGACTCCCAGCCAAGGCCTTGGCCCTCTTCTGGCCACAGTCCCCAGGGTGAAGAGGCAGAGGGAAATCACAGCTGGAATTTACTGTACGGGGCTGGCATCTGTTAGATGCTAACTGAGTGTGCATTGCTCCTGGACCTGCCCAGTGCCTACTGGGCCTAGGGTGAGAGGGAGCGAAGGGCAGCCAGGTGGGCTTGGAGCCAGCTAGGTGTGGCCCAGGCTCCTCCTCCTCATCTCCTGCCCTTGCCTGGCAGCACTTCCTCCTAGGGCCCGGAGGACTGGCTCCCTGTTCGGCTGGCCACGACCGAAGCAGGATGAAAGGGCTCCGCTGGCGGTACACCCGGCTGGTGAGGGGTTTCGCCCTGCTTGGTGGGGGTCAGGGCTGGGAGGAGGCTGGGGTCTCTCTCTGGTAAGGCGAGGCCCGGTGAGGTTGGAGGCGGGCCACTTATGCCCCTCTGGTGGTCCTCTCTCAGTGGCCAGGAGTTTGTAGCAAGCGCTGGCTCAGGGGAGCTGAGCCTCCAGCCCCGTGGGCCTGAGACCTTGAAGGGAACCTGCCACTGTTTCTGTCCCTTTTCCCGGAGTGGGTGGGAGATGCAGTTCTGTTTAGAGTGTGGGCCTTTTCTTAGGTGTTTCTCATTCCCAGAGAGGTTGCTCCTTCCCATGGAAAGCCTGCTGTCCTTGTGTGAGATCTGCACGCACATGTCCACATACTTGTGTATACCTACACACACCTGCACACTCAAGCACACACTGTGGGTAGAAGCTCAGTTGAATGACACCACCAGTGTACATGTCCTCTGACACACGCCTGCCTGTATTTTACAAGACCCACCCTACGTGAAAACACGAGCGTGGAACACACAAATTCACGCTGAACATCATCTCACAATGATTTGCTTGCACAACTCTATTTGAGGCCAGTACACAACTCACACGGGCAAACATATTTCACATGGACATGTGTACGCTGTGTCACACAGGCCTGCATACAAGGTCTTGCTGGCTGCTGGGCCATCCTCTGGCTTCTTTGGCATAATGGAGAAGTTAGAAGCACATTCTTAGGATTTTAGAGGAAATTCAAAGAAACCATGGTAGCAAGCATGCCAGGCAGGCCTGGCCCCATGTGGGTTGTGTCAGCGTTGGCCATCGTCACTGTCGTCATTGGTAGGGTCATTATTACTTCATACTTCATGTGCAGACACACTTGGTTTCAGTGCCCTGTGCTGGCTGCCCTGGCTCTGCCTCCCTGTTCCCAGCTTACAACTTGCCCCCTAGTGTCTACCCCAGGTCCAGAGCAAACGGACAGGCAGACTGCAGGGCCCATGGCTGAAGCTCAGAGGTGCTGGGCTGGGGTGTGTGTCTCCCATGAGCAGCAGGGAGGACGCTGGAGGGCTGGCAGAGTCCTGGCTGTCGCGGGCACTTACAGGTGTCCTGTGCTGGGCCAGTCCTCCCAGAGCCCTGGGCAGGGGTTAGGAAGTGCTTGAGGTTTTCCAGCTGAGAGCTGGTACCGGGGGTGTCTCTGTGCCTTGACCCCTGGGCCTCTCTGTGTCTTCTCAGCCCAGCCAGATGGAGGATGCCCAGTACGGGGAGGATGATGAGGAGGAGGACAAGGATGAAAAGAATGAGGCAGTCGCAGCCCCTGTCCCTGATCCTGAAGACCCCGTGGAGCCCCAGCTGACAGAAGCCAGCCAGGTTCTGGGTGCCTCGGACATTAGGCAGGTTGGGGCTCTGTCACACACCAGGACTTCGACCCTGGAGTTGTCCCCTACACCAGCCACGCCCAGGGGCACTGAGGTCATTGCTGCCTTGTCCCCAGCTCCCTGCCTCACCGTGGGAAAACCATTTCTTCTCTCTGGGCTTCCTTCCCTTTCTAGTGAAGCATTCAGGTTAGCAGCACTGCCTCTGCCCTTCAGGATCTGTGAATGAGCTTTTTTTTTTTTTTTTCACTATTGGAGATGGAATCCACCCACTTTGCAATGAACTATATCCTTAACCATTTATTTATATTTATATTTATTTATTTATTTTTGTTACCGGGGATCAAACTCACGACTGCAGGCTTACAAGGCAGGCACTTATGCCGTTGAGCTAAATCCCCGGTTCTATTTTTAATTTTTTGACACAGGGTCTCATTAAGTAGCTAACTTACCCAGATTGGGTTTGAATTTTTGATCATCCTGTCTCAGTTTCCTAGAGTGCCGGGATTATAGATGTACACAGCGTGCCTGGCTAAAGTGTACATTCTGAGGTGGCTCTGGCCCTTGGGAACTGAGAGGAGGGGCCCAGGATTTCTTATATTCTCCGGCCTCTGGTGACAGAGTGACCAAGAGGAGAGAGTACTGAGAGACTGCACAGGGCTGGCTTTGCCTGCGGCCCCTGTGAGCTTTGGGTTGGTTGTTCCGTGTTCCCCAGCCCTTTTTCCATCTGTAAAGTGGGAAACCCTACCTCTACGGGATACTGCTGCTGGGCAGGAGGTCCACAGAAACAGTCAAACACTTTGGCCACCTGTGTGATGCTCTTTGGCCCCAGTCCCAGGATGGAAGGAAGGCAGTGGGAGGAAAATCCCTCACTCACCTCTAGCCTTCCCCGCAGCTCAGCCTGCACCTGCCCCCGAGGGTCACTGGCCACCCCTGGAATCTGGCCTTCAGCACATCAAAGGATGGCTTCAGTCTGCGGAGATTGTACCGGCAGATGGAGAGCTGCAGCGGGCCGGTGCTGCTGGTGCTCAGGGACCAAGAGGGGCAGGTGAGCCGAGCAGGGCTCTGTGGGCTCCAGTCAGACACCACTGGGCCCTGCCCAGCCAAGCCTCAGGGCCCAGGTGGCTGAAGTGATAGCTTAAGTCATTTCAGATGGCAGTGAGACCTACCCCACTCAGCGCCAGCCCCTCACTTGCTCATTCAATATATCTATCATCTACCTATTATCTATCTACATTATCTACATCTATCAATGTAATTTGCTGTACAAGGGATTGAACCTAGGGCATTTGCACTGAGCTACATCCCCAGTCTTTTTTAAATTTATTTTTTAGAAACAGTCTCACTGTGTAGTTCAGGCTGACCCTACAGTCATCCTCCTGCCTCAGCTTCCTGAGTGCTGGGATTACATGTGTGTGGCACCATGCCTGGCAGCTCTTTTTTTAATTTTAATTTTTTGAGACAGGATCTTGCTATGTAGTTCACACTGAACTTGAATTTACTTATGTAGCTCAGGCTAGACTTGAACTCATGGTGATCCTCCAGCCTCAGCCTCCTAAGTTCTAGAATTACAGGTATGTACCACCATGCTTGGCTCTTTTTTACATTTTATTTTGAGACAGGGTCTTGCCAACTTGTCAAGGTTGAGCCTGAACTTGTGATTCTCTTGCCTCAGCCTCCCGGTGTTCTGGGAATTAAAGACGTGCCTGTCTTGTATCTATTTTAAACTTCTTAATCTAGAAATGATCCCAATCCTCTTAGGGCTAATGGTATAATGGAAAGAGGGGTTAGATATTTATAGGCAGATAAATAAATGTAAAACTGCATCCCTATTCTTAGAAACAAGAAACTATGGAGACAGTTTAAGCAGGTTATTGGCACCTTTGTGCTCCGTGTATGTTTTGAAAAGATTCCCTGTGCGATGGCAGAAGGCTGGACTAGAGCGGGTAAGAGTGGAGGCAGGGACCAGCACCACCACCCCTGCATTTTACAAGAGGAGCCTTGAGTGAGCTCTGGCTGAGGAGCTCTGGCTGAGGTCCACGCAATCTCTCTGATGGTGCTACTTAGGGAGCATGCCCCAGGCAGAAGGGAGGTGGGACTGGAAGCTGATAGGCAGACTTCCCCAGCCCCAGGGCCGGGAGCTCACTCACTCCCTTCACACAGAGCCCCTTCCATGGCAGAACACCTTGGCTCTGAAGAACTTTCTCCTCCTACCAGCCTTTCCCCACAGCTTCCCCCTCCACTGTGATCCTACCTCTGCCACTCTGCACTGTTCATCAGGTGAAAACCTGCAGCCCCCCTAACTGTCCCACAAGGGGAAGATGGCTGAGTCCGTTAGGGTCCTTCCAACAGAGTGAAGCGGTTTCACTCCAAGGAGTAAAGTTCAGCGGATCCTGGAGTCACACCCAGCCGGCCATATGAACGGCTTGGGTTATGACCAGTATTTTGGTTCTAACTTATGACCAATGCCACTTGGCATTATAACTAGATGCCAGCCACTTGTGCTTCCCGGTGGTGTCAGATACTGATTTGACCCTTAAGGATTTCTGGAAGGAACATTACAACATCCTTTCCGATAAGGGGTGTGTTGAGAAATCCTGGGCCAGTGTCTCCCTAAGGACACCAGGATCTGCTGTATACAGGAGAGAGATTTGAGGGCTGTGCAGAGGAGCCTGAGCCCTCAGTGACAGCTTAAATTGGAACCAGCCCTCGGGCACGATGGAGTTTGTGAGTCAAGGGTCTGCTGTATTGGACAGGCGGGAGCCATAGCTGTTAGACATGCTAGGTTTTCCTCTTCACGGGCTGTGAGTGTAGCTCACAGGGAAAATGCTTGCCCAGTACTCGTGAGGCCCTTGATCGCCAGTGCCAAAAAAAAACCCTTAAGCAGGATGTGAATGGCATTTTTTTTTTTTTTTATCTTTTTGAGATGGGGTCTTGCTATGCAGTTCAGGCTGGCCTTGAGCTCACTTTGTAGCCCAGGCTGGTCTCCATCTCGTAAGGATCCCCCCACCTCAGCCTCCCGAGTGCTGGGATTACAGGTGTGAGCCACCACGCCCAGCGTGAATGGCATTTTGAAGATAACTGAGGGAAAATGGAATATGCACTGAGAACTAGAAAATATTACAGAATGGTGTGGTCTTGCGTATGATAAGTACTGTGGTTATCTAAGAGAAAGTACCAATCTTTAGGAGCTGAACTGTTTTTGGGTGAAGGGTCATCATATCTTTTTGCCTACTTGTATTTATTTTATTTTTTTTGAATCACAACCTAGTGCTTGCCAGGCAGGTGCTGTGCCACTGAGCTATATCCCCAGTTCCCCACCTACTTTAAAATGGATCAGAAACTTACGTGAAGAAAGAGAAAACAAAATAGCAGACAGCCATTAAAACTGTTAAGTCAGGGGCTGGGGATTTAGCTCAGTGACATAAGTGCTTGCCTTGCAAGCAAGCAGTCGTGAGTTTGATCCCTGGTACCGATAAAAAGCAAAAAGACAAAAAAAAAAAAAGTTAAAAAAAAAAACTGTTAAGTCTAGGTGGAGGGAATATGTACTGTGCTTTGCACTTTTCTGTATGTCTGAAATTAATAAAGAAAGTGACGAGGAAGCAGCTTACCAAACTGATGCCTCACATTCTCTCTCTCCCTCTCCCTTTCTCTCTCCCTCTTTCTCTCTCAGCACTTGAGGTTGAACCCAGTGTCTTTGCCATGAGCTATAGTCCTAACCCTTTGTGGTTGGTTGGTTAGTTTTTGATAGTATCTAAATTGCTAAATTAACCTGGCTGGGCTTGACTTTGTGAGTTTCCTGCCTTGGCCTCCCAGAGTGCTGTGACTACAAGTGTGCACCTGACACCTGGCTTGTTGGCTCTTTTTGTATCAAAACCTGTGCACTGGTGTTGGATTGAGGTTGAAAGGGAGTGCACCAAATGTCAAGAGAAATTACCTGGGGAAGGGAGGAGTGTTAGAGATGGTCTTGTTTTCTTTCTGCTGTCTACAATTTGTATAAAATTAATATATTTTAAGAACAAGTGGAAGCCAGGCATGGTGGGACATGTCTGTAATCCCAGCACTAGGGAGGCTGAGGCAGGAGGATTATTGCAACTTGGGCTGGGCTACAAAGTGAGCTCAAGGCCAGCCTGAACTGCATAGAGACCCTGTCTCAGAAAGACAAAAAAAGAAACCCACCACCACCACCAAAAAGTGGCAAGGTCCTGACGGCCCAGCAGCAGCCTTGGCTGCTTCTTTGCAGTGCTGACAGGAGTGTAGTGGGGGGATTAGGAAGGCTCCCCAGGCCAGCTCAGGTGACCCCGAAGATGAGCCTGCATTGCCCAGTCTGGACAATGGGCATTGCCGGGGGACCCCGACCCTTCTGGCTGTGAACTGCACATTTTTCTGCTTTCCAGGTGTTTGGTGCCTTCTTGTCCTCAGCTCTCCGACTCAGCAAAGGCTTCTATGGCACTGGCGAGACGTTCCTCTTCTCCTTCTCCCCACAGCTGAAGGTGATGCTCCCACGTCCATGGGGGCGGGGCACTGGCAGGACGCAGCACTGGGGTCACAGGTCCCCAGCTGATCAGCAACTGCTACAGGGGGAATGCAGCAGGGTGGAGGGCAGGGTGCGCCCTGGGCCTGTGCCTCGTTAAGAAATGCACGTAGGTAGGTGTCCACACCCAGTGACTGGCTGGGGGTACCCTACTCACCAAATGCAGGCTGGAAAGAGAAGAGGAGTGGCAGTGGACCTAAGGGTGTGGTGACGGAAGGATGTGTCCAGTGACTTCTTTTATTCTCTCTTTTTTTTTTTTTTTTTTTTTTTTTTTTTTTTTTTTTGTCTTTTTCGTTTTTATCGGTACCAGGGATTGAACTCACAACTGCCTGCTTGCAAGGCAGGCTTATTCTCATTTTTTAACTTCTTATTCTATTGATACATTTTAGATATACATAATGACAACCTTCATCATAGAGTTTGTATCTTTTTTCTTTTTTCCCATTCCTCCCCCACATCCAACTCCTCCCTTCTCCTTTTTGTTCACAAAACCTTTGTTTCTATTTTCTCCTTTTACTGGGAGGGGGACTTGCTGTGTGGTTCAGGGTGGCCTTGAACTCACTAGGTAGCCCAGGCTGGCTACATAGTGATCCTCCTGCCTCAGCCTCCCAAGTGCTGGGATTATAGGTTACTACCAGGCCCAGCCCAGTGGCTTCTTAGAAACACGGGGTAAGGGCTTCAACTGAGAGAACAGGGTGAGGGGAAGAGGAGGCAAACAGTCCCGGAGAATGTGAAAAGTGGCCATGAAGGAGGCTGGTTAGACAGGACAGCTGGGCTTGTGGCCCGGGCCTGCCCTCCCTCCCCGGAGAGCTCCCCCACCCCAGCACTCAGCTCCGCAGCCAGAAGAGCGGGGGATGCAGGTCCTCCAGGGCTGGGGCTTTGCTGAGCCAGCTTCACATCAGCAGGAGGGGCAGCAGGGGTGGGAGTGGAGACAAAAAAGGAGCACAAACCTCAGGCTGGGCAAGAGGCCAGGGAGGGCTGAGGGGCCTGCAGGCGCTGGCCAAGGTGGACTCCATGGAGCAGGGGTCTCCTGAAGGTTGGGACAGCAGCAGAGCCGTGCGTCAGAGGACAGGAAACAGCAGGCCAGGGACATGAAAAAGACTATGGAGGTCAAGTTCCCAGCAATGACTGTGTGAAACAGCAGATGGAAACCCCTGGAGGCAAAGGGGACAGGAGCTGAAGGGCAGATGAGGGGAAGGTGATGTCCAGCACAGGGCGGGGAAGGAGGAGGGATGCGAGTCTGAGCTCAGCGGCTTGGCCGGTGAATGATAGGCACACGTGCCTGGTACCTGGTGTCTCACATGGCACAAGCTGCCAAGGAACTGGGGCTTATTTTTTTTACTGGTGGTTTGAACCCAGGGCCTTGGCACTCAGCTGCACCAGCTGCACGGCAGAGCCCTTTTGATTTTTCATTTAGAGGCAGGGGCTCACTAAGTTGTTATATTGCCCATATTTGGGCAATCAGACTTGGCAGTCCTCCTGCCTCAGCCTCCTGGAGTGCTGGGGCTACAGGTACATGGTACTTGGCAGTTCTGGGGCTTTTGAAGGAGAATAATAGTCCCAAATGTGTTCCACTTAGGGATTTTGTCTCTGGGTCACTTGTTCAGTGATGTTACCGAGTACTACCCGCTTGGCACAGAGCACACTCCTAACAGACAACAGCAGCTCACAGGTAGCCAGTTTGCCACCTCCAGGAAGCGGGTGTTATCCTACAGGTGAAGAAGCTGAGGCTGTGCTAGCTCGATAAGGTGCCCACGAAACAGAGGACTCAGGGCTGTGAAGGAGGAGCACGGCCTCTAGTGGGGGCAATCTCGGGAAGCTTCCGGGAAGAGGAGCTTCTGGAGCTGGGTCTTATTGGCAAATCAAAAAGTATCAGGTGGCAGAGGGGTCAGGGGAGCTGTGCAGAGAAAAAAAAAGCACACGTAGGAACCCAAGAGCATGGGGAGGGCCGGAATGCGTGAGGCAGGGCACCCTGTGGCTCTGCCCTGTCCCAGGGCGTCCTCCAGAAACAGTGCTTATTCCTGGTTTGTTCGATGGCTGCAGAAACAGTTTCAGGTGCTTTGCTTTGCTGTGAGGGTTCTCCTTTCTGAATGCAGCACGCAGACGGTGGCACCTGCAGACACCCCCAGCACAGGACAGCCCTGCTCAGGCACCATGATCCCCCCAGGCAGGAGTGCCCGGCCAGATGCCTCCCTCACCCTTCTCAGGAGGTGGCAGCAGGCCGTGGTCAGGCTATGTGGCCAGCCCAACCAGAGGCTAAGCCATCACCACTTGCCCTTCCAGTGTTTCTACCCCAGAACACTAAAGTTCTAGAATTTCCTGCATTAACAACTCTTTGTTGCTCTCTCTTTGTTTTTGTACTGAGGATTATTAAACCCAGGGCCTTCACACTGAACTAGAACTATTACCCTAGCACTTTTTAAATTTTTTTGAGACAGGTCTCACTAAGTTGCTCAGGTGGCCTTGAACTTATAAACCTGAACCTCCTGCCTCAGCCTCCCCGGGTATGGACAGCACAAGCATGGGCCACCATGCCTGACTTCTTTGATATTTCTTTTTTTATCAGTACTGGGGATCGAACTCACGACCGCCTGCTTGCAAGGCAGGTGCTTATGCCGCCGAGCTAAATCCCCAGCCCCTTCTTTGACATTTCTAACGTGAGTTCAGTCCTTGGTTCTCTTCTCTGACTACTCTTTGCGTTCTCCCTGCCATCCATATGCTGATGGCTTTTTTTGTGTGTGTGTGTGGTACCAGGGATTGAACTCACGACCTCCCATTTGCCAGGCAGGCGCTTATGATGGCTTCTTTTTGAACCCCAAGCTCACATGTATCCAGCTGCTCCCCACATCTCCTGGTCTCCAGCTGGCGTTTCACTCCACGCTCCTGTCTGTCCTCACGCTCCTTGCCCCCTCAGGAATTGTGGCACCTCCATCTTTCCTGCTGCTGAGATCAAAAGTCCCGGGGTGCTCCTTACCTCCACCCTCTGATGTTCCACATCGGGACTGCAGCTCGGCCTTCCCTCCATATTTAGAATCGCTGTTCTCTGTAGTCATGCCCTGCGCTGCCGCCTTGGCTCAAACTTCCATGGTGACTTGTGTGCAGTACGGGCATAGCATCCTAACGGTCTCCCTGCTTCCCCCTTCAGTCATCCGAATCACTGGAGTGATACCTTTGAAAGGGAAGTCAAGATGTATTTGCTTCTTGGCTTCCTTTTTCACTTGGAGAAAAGTCTGTACCATGGCTTCTAATCCTTACAGTTTCTGGCCTCTCTTCAATACCGTGTCTTGTTTTCCTTCCCCTCACTCTGCTCCAGCCACACTGGCCTGCTCCTGCCTCAGGACCTTTGCATGTGTGGTTCTATCATGCTTTTCCACTGGATCTGCACATGGTTCAGTTCTGTCCTCAAGTCTCCATCTCAGCAACTACATTCCCTTGCTGAAAACTTAGCACACCTGAAAACCCTCACTGCCTTCTCATGTCTTCTTGCCCGAGCATTTTTCACCAATGACATACTCTCCTCGTACTACCTCACCTGCCTCTTCCCACTAAATGTGTCTTTAAGGCACAGACTGCAGTCTGTTGGGTCCACCATCGACTCAGGGCCTAAGCCATGCCTTGTGTGTAAGTGCTAAAACAATTACTGAATGAAATAAATGATCTCTCCCTGAATGATCACTGTCTGTCTCCCAGGCTTAGTGTTATGGAATCCCATCTAAATACTGGCTGATCCTTGCCTATCTTTGCTCTGCTGACACTGCTTGTGTCCCTCACAAATTGCTAGGAGTTTGTCACTTGATTGCTATCCCACGCAACATCATGAACTTTGTCTTAATTTCTTCCATAGCAATATTTCTCACATTCTTTCAAGTCTGAAGGTCATGAAGAAGGTCCTTGAAGAAAGTAAAGAAACCCTGAATGCCTCTGTGTTCTCGTTACATATTATCACATCCCTTGAGCCCAGAACCAAACTTCTCTCTTCCCCAGTCCTGGGAATGGAACCCAGGGCTTCACACATGCCAGCTGAGCATCCTCCCACTGATGCACAGCCCCAGCCTTTTTTTCACTTTTGAGACAGTCACACCAGGCAGGGCTGAAATTTGCACTCCTCCTTCCTCAGCTTCCCAAGTAGCTGAGATTACTCTACCACGCCCAGACAGGAATTATCCTTTAGTTAGATGATGTTATTTTCTTACTAAAAACTTTCATTGCTTTGTAGTATTTTTTTTTTCTTGGGCTTTTTTTGAGACAGGGTCTCACTATGCAGTTCAGGCTGGCCTTGAGCTCACTTTGTAGCCCAGGCCGGTCTCAAACTCGCAACGATCCTCCCACCTCAGCCTCCTGACTGCTGGGATTACAGGCGTGAGTCACCACGCCCAGCTGCTTGTAGTATTTTTGACAACCACTTGTAGGCTTGAGGTCTAACTGACTCTAGAACAATTTATTAATTCATTGACTACCAACAGCACATGGCCGGCAGAAATTCAGAGAATCAAGGCAGGAACAAGGGCACACTGTATAAGACAGAGTCAAGGAGGGTGCTGAGGAAGACACCAGGGCCAGGAGGAGGAGGTCTAGGGTTCCATCTGATGCTGGAAGGTGTGGCCTTAAAGACCTGGGCAAGTGCACTCTGGCCAAAGGGACCAAGTGTCCACGTACACAAAGGCCATTGTGGCTTAATTCCTTCAACAGGGGATGAGGGTGGGCACAGCAAAGTCAAGTGAGGGCAGGGTTGCTTTGTGCTGTACACAGGACTCAGAATTTACTCCACCACAGGGGGAAAAGGCACTGTAGGCAGAACAGTGACAGCATGACTCGAGTTTGACAGGCCACTCAGACCAAGGGCCGGCTGTGAGCCTGGCAAGGGGTGGATGTGGGCAAGGGCAAGGGTACTGCAGGACATGGCTGTGTGGCAGCTCTGGAGGGCAGGCCAGCCTGGCATGACCTCCAGGGAGAGCATCATTGGTCCTGACCTCTGGTCTGGACTTTTCTCCTTGTTTCCTCAGCGGAAAGGAGAAAGCTTCAGGGGTCTGTGCTGTCCCTAGAGCAAGGGTGCTCTGCATGCAGACTGCGGGGGTGCCCAAGTCTGACATCTCAAGAACTTGGAGCTGGGTGCATTTCCTGCAGCAGCCTGGCCCTGAAAGCTCCATTCCCTCCATGACACTGCCACCCAGTGGCCCGGGGTCACACTGCACGAGCAGGACTCAAGTAACCCAGCCTTTCTTTCACCCAGGTCTTCAAGTGGACAGGGAGCAACTCGTTCTTTGTGAAAGGAGACTGGGATTCACTTATGATGGGCAGTGGCAGGTACATGTTCCGGTCCCTTCCCCGTTCTGAAAAGTACTTCTGGGTGTAGCCGGCCCAGATGGACAGGAGAGGCAGGTGGTTCGCTTTTAGCCTAGGCCGTCAGCATCACTGCCCACCCTGCTCTGAGCCAAGGAAGGAGAAGAAATGACAACGACCTCACGTCAAGCTGTTTACAGTTGGTGACACCTTAGTCTGAATTTCTGTAATTTTGGGAGCATCCATGTGGTGGATGAGGCTAGACGTAGGATATATCAGTTAGCCCAGTAAACCCAGGAGACATAAATCATTCGAGGAAGGCAAGCAAGCTGCATCTGCCCAACAACCTGGACTGTGTTCCTGTCTGTGGACCACAGAGGGCAAAAAAAGCTTGGCCTTGGTGTCTCCTCCCAAGCAGAAAAAAGCCTGGTCTCTTTAAACTCAGGCATATTAATAAGTTTTACCCTGACGGTGAAGATGAAAGCATGATTATTACCAGGCAAATTTTCTGCTCTCCCAGCAGCCGGAAAAGCCTCCCCTGACAGGCAGCTTGGCAAGAACATCTCAATCAGTCCTGATCTGCAGGAAGGGGTGTTTTCAAACGTTCCCAAGCTGGGCTGTGATTGCTGTACTTATGCATATACTTTCTAAAATCATTGCATGGGCTAGGGATGCAGCTCAGAGGCACAGTGCCTACCCGATAAGCACAACGCCCTGAGTTCAATTCCCAGTACCAAAAGAAAATAAAATCACTTCATTGCTTTAGAAATATTCTAAAACCTGTAGGGAACAACATGCTAAGTCCTTCAAAAGTGGAGGTGAATCTTGAAGGGGAAGATAACAAGGGCTGCCACAAGGTATAGGCAAGGGCTTGTGATGGTAGTAGATCCTAACAGCCTCTCACATAGGATTGAGCCAGGCCCAAATGTCTCTCTCTCTCTAGTGGCCAGTTTGGGCTGTGGTTGGATGGAGATTTGTATCACGGGAGAAGCCATCCCTGTGAGACCTTCAACAATGAGGTGCTGGCCAGGCAGGAGCAGTTCTACACCAGGGAGCTGGAGGCCTGGGTTCTGAGCTGAGAGCCTGTGTGGTGAACTCCTGGAGGGTGGGGCTGTGGACCTGCTCGTGGGTGCTGTTCTGCCCTCTGTTCCTAGGACTGCCCTTTCTGCTCAGAGGTGGTCAAGTGCCCACACGGGCACAGCGGCTGTTGGAAAGCTTATCAAGGTCCTGGGATGCATGCATGAGGCAGGCACTAGTGCCCTGCAGAAGTGACTTTGGAGGTGTCAAAAATACACCTTACCCAAGAAAGAGTCCCTCATAAAAATGATCTTTGTAGCAATTCTACAGTTAATGCAACATATTTATTTGCAGAAAACCAGATCACGTTAAAAATTAATATTGCCTAAGATTCAACTCCTCTCACAACAGTAACATTACAAATAATTTTCTATAGATGTATATATATAAATAGATATACACACACAAATGGGATGCTGCTTTGCATGTTTTAGAAATCACTTTAAAGAATACTATCAAAAAAAGAATACTGAAAAAAAAAAAAAAAGAGAGAGAATACTATCAAACCTTAGAAACTTGTGCTCAGTCAATGAAACCAATAAAGACTCTAGTATCATGTTGCTTTTCTTGCCGGTTCTAACACATGGGGGATTTTTGTATTCATTACTTGATTTCACAGGGAAAACATAAAAGCAGCAAATGAACAATGTGCATATTTGGGCAAAGAAACGGAACTGTTGTAGAACCAACCTCAAGCAGGTTCAGAAAGAGAAAGGAGTATGTTTTATGGCCAGCCAGCTCTAAGAAACCTGCATATCCCTCCCTAACCAGGGCCTGCCTCTTGACAGAAGGAAAAACACTCCTAACTTGCTCCACTGCTTGAGAAAAACTACTCCCAGGATGGTGTTAATCCCATGCCCTGGCAGATGCAGCACAGTGTTGAGATGCCAAGAAGGACCTGGATGGAGTCCTACACAAGTCACTTTGCTCTGCAAGGAAGGGTCCAGGTACATGACCATGCAGGACAGAGTGGTGATGGAGCACACTGCTGGCTTCAGGATGGAACAGTTCTCAGAGCTTTATTGCAGCTGTTTTCCAGACTCAGTTAAGTCAGAGTCCCTTCAAGCTGAAGTACTATTTGCATTCTTAAGACAAAGCTCAGTAACTCTAGAGACTAAGCTGTTAAATTCTCCATTTTTATACAGCTATGATGTTTCTTAAGAAAAATTTATGCTTGTAAATGGCACAAGGCTCTGGCAGTTAAAACAGTTGCAAACAGGATAAAGTGCAGTTGTCTTACATGGGAAAAAAGATGTGAACGAAACAGATTCACTTCTCAGATAACATAATGATACAGTATTAGGGCTACAAAATTCCAGAGTTAACCACAAATGATTTTAAAATCAAGTTGGCAGAGACAAAACAATCTTAGGAAAGTACCACATTCTTGAACTCGGTCTGGGCACATGAGGTTGAGACTATGGGTGTCTCCCCTGAATGTGTTAGAGGTACCTGGCTAGGCAGATACAGGCCAGGGCCTCACTTGTGCGTCAACAAGCGTCCCCACATGAGCAGCACTGTGATGAGACAGGGTGGCCTGATTCTTTACTGAAGGAGGACGGCATGGGAACACAGGATGGCAGACTCCAAATACTTCACTGAGAGTGGACAGAACAGAGTCTACTCACATAGTGCAACGTGACAGCATGAGTGATCTGCTGTCACTTTCTTAGGGAGTGATCAGAAGACACCAGTGTGTAAAAAGTTAGGGATCAAGGCCTCTGTCCCCACTTCCCTGCATCTCCAGCACCCTCTTGTCACCACCCCTTTTGGCTCCCACTCCGGATCTTGTTCTTGGTGACTTTCTACAGCCTAAGGTATGGGACAGGTTCCCTGGGGACAGCTGCCATGCTCAACCTGGGTGGTACACACCCCATGGCTGGGAAAATCAAGTTACAAAGGGGAACCTGGGATACACTGGGCAGTCCTGAACCTCAGCAAAGGCAGTGTAGTCCAGTTTGCTTTGAAAGCCATAGAATGCATTGAACCAGCAAAAACAGGCTCAGGTAAGAGTGGTCCCAAGGATAGTTCTTGCAATGTCCAGAGCCATTTTCCAGGCAGACTCAGAAAGCAGGCAGAGGGACGGGGAGTTCACTCTCAGCTGGGCAGAGGTGAGGCCCTGGGGCTGGTGCAGTGAGGACTCAGAAGAGACAGAAACTCCCAGCCTGGACAACAGCTAACTTAAGAGAGTAGCCTGGTCTGAGGGATCCCTCTGCTTCTATGGTCTCCTAAAAGAGAGCTTCATCATGCTCTCATGAGGAAGAGGTCTGCACTGGGAATATGGCTCAGTTCATTGGTACAGTACTGGCCCAACACGCACAAAGCCCTGGGCTCCATTCCCAGTACCACGAAAAAAAAAAAAAAGGAAAAACAAGGCCCGAATCCTCAGATCTCTCACCAGAGTTGGAGCTAGTCCTCTTTCACTTCCTACTGTTTGCCCTCACCTGGCAGCTTACCAGAGCTAGGAGAGTAGGGCAGGTGTCCTTCCTCTGATCACTTAAGGAGCACTAGCCTCAAACTTGGGGTGGTGATGACATCTCTGTAGGGACTAGTTTGTTCTATTTTTAATGTCTATTCATGACAATTCTAACTTCAGATTCCAATTTGTACCCCTGCCTCATTTCTAAATTGAAAAGAAAAAAACAATCACCTGTCATAAGATGTTAGAGTAAAAAAAAAGTTGTTATTTTAAAAAAACAGACTACTAAAGGAGAAAGGCTAGGAAAGTTAAAAATAGGCAAGCTAATTCTTTTCATAACGTGTGCAAGATTTGCCTAATACCTTTTTTGTTTTTTTGAGTAAGAATTACTTACCTTTAGGATATGTATACATTCAAAATACAAAATAAAAAGCACTAGTAACTAAGTCTGTGGAACTCTACGATTACATTCTCTATCGTGTGTCAGGGGAAGGCTTTTTTTTTTTGTCTTTTTCCTTTTTATCGGTACCAGGGATCGAACTCACGACTGCCTGCTTGCAAGGCAGGCGCTTATGCCGCTGAGCTAAATTCCCAGCCCCTAGGGGAAGGCGTTTTGCTAACAGGCAATTGCAGAGTTTCACATGGCATCATCGTCAGGCAGTGTAGACTCATCCTTGAGCACCACGGAGTCACCCTTAAACAGCTGGACTTTGCTTCTGGATGGTTCTGTGGGGTGAACTGGTCTAGGACGCCACTCTGGTTTTTGAGGTGTTATCAGGGGGGCTACAATATCACCATCCTAGCAGGAAGAGAGAGGAAAACAGGAAATACAGAAAATTCAGTTTCTGTCGCTTGACAGCTAAGACAGTGTCTCAGGCACACACACCCTTCACTTCAGCTGAATTGCTCCTCGATAGACTTACTGTCAGGAAGCTCCAGGTGATACATGCCCCATACTTGGGTCAAATTAAAACCACCACAGTCCTAAGCTAGTAAGGTCTTTGTAAAAAAAATCCTCCAGCGCTCTCTAAAGATGGCTGGATTTGGGATGTAGCTCAGTGGTGGAGTTCTTACTCAGCAGGCATAAGGCCCTGGTGTGGTAAGGGAGAGCCAGAAGCAGCACCCCACTGCTTGGGCCTATGCACAATTTCACACACTGCTTCCTGTTTTTCCAGGAGAGAAAGAACTTGCACTGGATTCTAGCTTCTCTCTTTCCTGATTTTCTCTAAAAAAAAATGCCCAGGTCAGGAGATGTCAAGAAAAGGGGAAGAAGAGTACACACCAGTTAAGTGTTAATTTTTCTCTGCAATTAAAGCTCTAACTTTTGTTGCATCAGCATATACTCCAGCCAGTGAGTTCATCCACCCAAAATGAAGGCTGGCTTCAAACTGAAGGGATTCTACTGACCTAACCTAAGAGCAGACAGTGGGGGCAGCAAGGCCCTCCACACTCCATTTTTGTTCTTGATCACTTGAGAACTTGTGGTTAGACTCTCTGTGGTCATATGAAGGCTCTTAGGGAGCCTTGTTATGGACTAGGGATTGAATGTGGTGGGACACTGGGCTCATTTGCTGATTGACATCAGACCACTTCCCCCCTTTTTCCCTCCCCTCTCATCAACCACTCCCAGCTCCTGTACCCACTGGTTTCCACAGAAAAATCAATGTTCAGCAGGTACATTCCTTCCTTCTCTTTTCTTACTATCTCACAGACATGGGCCATTTATTTCAGAGGGGACCAGGCAAGACAGAAGCAAGGATCCAACGGGAGGCATGAATGGGTCTCATACTATGAACATATGCAATAACAAAGACACAGACCACAGGGGAGAGGCAGAGAGGGCCAGGGTACCGCTCCCACCCCTCTGGTGCAGGCACCAGCATCTGTGACCCTCTGTAGGTCCAGTTTCTGCAAGGGCCCTGGCTCCCAGACACCCATCTGCTCCTTTGGTCTCTCCTAGGAGGCAGTGGCAGCTTTCTGCTGTTGTCTCACTGTCCTCCATTTGCTTTTTTAGCTCTGCCAAAACTTTGAATCTCATCACTTGTGTGAAATTTCTTCTGTTGAACTACACTGAATGTGACTTGACAGTGCCTTTAAAAGCTGAGGTTCAGTGGCCACGAGTCACACCTGCAGACCTGCCCATCTAAGTCAGCACCCAAAGTCATCTCATTCAGATTTCCTTACCTCTACCCACTCTTTTTCTTTTCTTTCTTTCTTTTGGTACTGGGGATTGAACTCATGATCATGCGCTTGCAAGGCAGGTGCTTATGACACTGAGCTAAATCCTCGACTCCCATTCTGTTTTTCTTAAATTTTTATTTTTATTAGTATACATTTGCAGTAGGTAATGATTATATTCATCAAGGGGAGTTAGTACACATACATGACACATCCTAACCCATTCTGGTTTCAATATAGTGAATGTTATAAATGCAAACATAAAGATGCTACTCTCCCTGATTCAATGGTCCCAGTCCCAGTTCCTCTTGGCAGAGCAAACTCAGCAGAAAACTCCAGACAGCTCACTCTCAATGCACTTCCCTGAAAGGCACCATATCCTTTTTCCTCTTCTGCCCGGCCCATGGTGCTCTGTCTCAGCACCTCCCCCGACCAGTTACAGAGCTCTGCCTGCTCCTGTACCTTTGGTCTCAGCTGCCAAACCCTTCCTCAGGATTTTCCCAACCAACCAGGCCTGGCTACACCTTCCTTTCTGTTCCCTCAAGACTCTATTGGCTGGGGCTGAGGATTTAGCTCAGCGGCATAAGCGCCTGCCTTGCAAGCAGGCAGTCGCAAGTTCCATCCCTGGTACCAATAAAAAGGAAAAAGAAAACAACAACAACAACAAGACTCTATTGCCGGCCCCAACACACTTACTGTGCTACTGCAACTGCTGCTTTCTTGTGTGCTTGTTATCTCCAGCTAGACTGAAACTCATGAGACTAAGGACTATGTGTGTAATAGGCACTGATCCATCCCTAGGACCTAACACAGGGCCTAGCCAAAAACAACAACAACAACAACAACAATGACTCAGTGAGTGAATGTGCCTAGATTTATTAAGGCAGTTACCACCACATGACCACATGTTACGAGCCTCTTGTTCCAGTCCATCTGTAGACAGGGTAGTCAGTGGCTGTTTTCCTTCACTGTTACAGTACCTGGGATGGGCCTAACTTTCTTATTCCCTTGGGTCCCATGCTACAAACACACACAATAACAAGCACACAAGCAAATAATGCCTGCAGTAATGATTCCCTCTCTACTGCAAAGGAGAAAAAAATCCTCTTCCTTAGCTGATTATCCAGGTCTTCCCTCATAGTCCTACTTAACATTTAACAGTAAGAATCTTACACTGTGTTCAGAGAGGGTTTCTCATGTTCCCTTCACTTTCAATTTGCTTATTTCATGTCTCTGCTTGTGCTGTTCCTACTGCTAGCCATGATTAACTTCCCCCTGTTCTCAGCCTGATGCAATCCAGCTCCTGGGTTGAGCAGCTCCTCCCTCTTTACACGGCCTCCCCACCAATCAGTAGCTCTTAAATCTCTCAGAGCAAACCTGCGTCATGCCATGGCACTTGATCCAATACTGACTTACTGAGCTGCTCTTTCACACAGGACCCTTGGTTTTATTCCTCTAGTACCTGATGTTCAGAGGAAAAGGCAACTGGTCTTGGAGGCTACAGCCACATGCTTGTCAATTATATTCAACTAGTCAGTCAACTAGTATTTTTTTTTTTTTTTTTTTTTTTGAGAAATATCTCACTATATAGCGCAGGCTGGCCTTGAACTCACTATGTAGCCCAGGCTGGCCTCAAACTCACAGCAATCCTTCTGCCTCAGCCTCTGAAGTACTGAGATGACAGGCAGGTGCCACCACACCAGCCAGTCAACCAATACTGAATGGCCAGTTTCTCTATGTTAGATACCTATGTGTCATCAGTAGGGACAATTTAAAAACATTCTCCACAGGATTATCAACTAGAGATTATCTCCTCTGTCTCTTTATTTTCATTTAGAGAATTTAGTTTACTGATATCAAAATAGCTAGGTTTGACAACACTGAACTTGAAATAAAAAGCTTAAAAGTTTTTATTGGGCTGGTAGAGGACTTGCCTAATATGCTAACAACTATGAGTTTGATCCCTGCATGACGACACAAAGAACAATAATAAAATCTTGTTATCAGTTAAATGTTGCCCTAACAAAAGTTAACAACCACTCGGCTATGAAAACCTCTGAAAGGGAACACTGTCTCCCAGGGTCACTAGGAGGACTGGGATAAGATAACTGGTGAGAATATTATAAAACAATATTCATATTTTTTTATTATTGTAACTCAGACAATAATGATCAATTGAGTACCACTCCCAACATATGTAAGAAGAAATCACTGGTTGACACAGATTCATACATTTTCAAAGGAATGAAGGTGAAAGAATATTTTCAAACCATAACAAATTAGCTACAATTCATTTATTATTTATTGGGGTGCTGGGGGTTGAACCCACTGTCTTGTGCAAGGCACACTATAACAAACTATATCACTAGCCCCACAGCTACGATTTAAATAAGAACTGACCCTTTTGGTTTTTCTTAAAAGTTCAAGTGTGCAAAATTTGACTGTAACACCCACCTGTGGCTTTGTGAAGTCACTGATTGCACACCAGTGAACAAAGTGTTGTTTGGCAGCATATATACTCTTACTATCCATCTTCTTACAATACACTCGAATTAGCTGCTCTGCAAATCTCTCTGGCAGAAGCTGTGAGACCTTTTTTTTAAAAAAGAAAATATTCGCTGTCACTTTGAATTCACACAACAGAGAAGTATCAGCCATTCCCTTGGCTCCTGAGTACCATTTCCAATGCTTACAAGCACATGCTGCTTGCTGTTTTATCCCGATTATAGTCCAAAGAGAAAAAAAATTCAAGATAATTGTCATACTGCAAAATGCCTCATTTTATGTCAATTAGTAAAGGATTAAAGGTTTGTATTACATAATTACATACAGACCACAGAGTTCCACACAGAAGACATGCAAGTAAGCACTTTAATTTTAACCATATAGCAGCCACTTCCCACCAGATTTGTAACCTAATCTTGGAACTAATGTTTACCGAACAGGAAAAACTGGCTAAAATGATCTAATCTGCCTTTATCTTTTAAAAACTGTACACTGAATCTAGAACCGAACAAAGTAAAATGCAAATTTACTATAAGCACTTGCCAAATATGAACTACTATACTGTATTTATTTTATCTAAGTGATTACCTGATCTTTAGTAATCATGATTGCCTTGTAAGGGTGACTCTTACAATAGAACCGAACATGATCAATTGGATTCTTATCTTCCATTCCATAATCCATGTTGATAACCTTAATAAAAGCAATAAATAAGTAATCACATAACAGTAAGAAGTTAAATCAGGGTTGTAGTGGCATCATAAGAAATTTGGGGGCTGGGGATTTAGCTCAGTGGCATAAGCGCCTGCCTTGCAAGCAGGCAGTCGTGAGTTTGATCCCCGGTACCGATAAAAAGGAAAAAGACAAAAAAAAAAAAAAAAAAAAAAAAGAAAAGAAATGGTGCTAGCTGGGAGCAGTGGTCCATATTTGTAATCCCAGCACTGAGGGAAGTTAGGCAGAAGGATCACGCGTTCAAATCCTGTCTGGACAACTTAATGGGATGCTGCTTCAAATCAAAAAATAAAATGGGTTAGGGATGTGGCTCCGTGACACAGTACCCCTGGGTTCAATCCCTAGTACCACATACATACATACATACATACATACATACATAAAGATAGAAATGGAACAGGGCCCTCTGAGATTATGTAAGATCTCTTGTAAGCTGTTGCAACATGGTGAAATAAAAGTAACTTTGATACCTGACCAATCATAAGAATTTCATTAAGAAATCTTGGGCAAGGAGAGAATATATCTGTATGTACAATATAAGTAGAGTATAAAATCAATACCTACTATGGGATAGAGACTGTGTTTATTTTTCCCCCCACATTATTGGGAACTTTGTACATGTGAGGCAAGTGATCTATCATTTTTTTATTTTGAGACAGTCTTAGTTCATTGCCCAGGTTGGTGTCAAACTTGCGATTCTTCTGCCTCAGCCTCCCAAGTAGGTGGAATTATAGGCATGTGCCACTGTGCCAGCTGATTTTTTGTTTCTGTTTGTTTGGTTTTTGGAAACAGGATCTCACTATGTACTTCAGGCTGGTCTTGAACTCACGATGTAACCTAGTCTGGCCTGAATTTCACAGTGATCCTCCTGTCTCAGTCTCTTGAGTGTGAGGATTACAAGTATACAAACTTTGCTGATTTTTGACTACTTAGTAAGTGGTTGCTGTAACTAAGGAGTTGAATTCTTTATTGTATTCAAAATTAATTTCTTTAAATTTAAAAGGCTTCTCAGCTATAGGGGTGCTCACTTGTAATCCAAACTACTCAAGAGGCAAAGGCAGGAGGATTGAATATTTGAGGTCAGTCTGGGTAGTATAGTGAGATCCCCACCTCAAAAAGTAGATAAAGTTTAAAAACCCCACCTTGGCCAGTGGGCACACATTGGGCAATCAGGTATAGAGCTAGCTGCACTTCTCACTTCTGAGAGATCACACACTATCAATTGTACCTTCCCTCTTCTGGGCTTTCCACCAGCACACAGATGGTCTTTGATCACAAGAAAATCATAAGCATTTCTCTTCATCCCTTTCCTCTCCTTTAGGGACAAACTCATCAAAAACTGTCTTCCCCTACCTTTCTAAGGTACCATAACCCTCTCTGGGTATAGTCTGAGTACCTTTTTCTGAAATGCTTGGAACCAGAGCGATTCAAATTTCAGAGTTTTTTAGAATTTGGAATATCTGCATAGACTATACCACATTTTATTGGCATTCCTAATCCAAAATGTTCCAAAAGTCAGTAATTTATTTGAATGTCATGTTCATACTCAAAAGTTTCAGATTTTGGCAGTTGGACATGGTGGCACACGTCTGGAATCTCAGCACTCTGGAAGGCTAAGGCAGGAGGATCACAAGTTTGAGCCCTGCCCAAGCAACTTAATGACTTAAAAAAGTAAGGAGGAGAAAACAGGAGGTCCTGATGAGCTAGGAACAAGGAAATTAAGAGACATGTTCTTGGACAGAAACTAAGATGTTTATTTTAGTGATATTAAATAGAGGGTAGTTTCAAATGGTGGCAACATCCGAGGTGTAATGTGCTGGAGCCCTGACTGAGGTGAAGTGGATAAGGTCATTGAAGTTGAAAATGAAGACCTCAGAGAATTGGCTCTATGTGGCTATGCTCAGGAAAACAATAGGAAGTGGAGCAGAGAGGAAGACTGAGGCATGCCAAAAGTTCAACTGAGAGGATAGTATTTGGTCTGCACAAAAATGATTATCTCCTCGAGTAAAGCTACTTTATCAATTACATTAAAAATTAATTAGTTTTGAAGACAGGGTCTCACTATGCTGTTCAGGCTGGCTTGTCCTCACTATGTAGCCCAGGCTGCCCTTGAACTTGCAGACATCCTCTTGCCACAGCCGCCCAATTGCTGGCATTACAGGCATGTGTCACCATGACTCAATAATACTTTAAAAAATTTTTTGTTTATGTTTTCTGAGTCTTGCTCTATATGCTAGGCTGGCCTTGAACTTGATATATAGCCTACACTAGTCTTAAACTTGGGGTTATCTTCCTGCCCCTGCTTCTGAGTGCTGGGATTCCAGGTATGCACACTATGTCAGGTTTGTCAACCACAATTCTGAAACATTCTTCTAATTTGATTTCTTGCACTAATTTATGCTTCTATTTTCACACACCCTATCAATGAAGAATTTTAAAACAGTCTGTTCTTAACAAGTCTGATGTAAAAAACTGTTGCTGCATTAACTTGCCTTTCTCAGTCTGGTAAGGTCAAAGTTCTTTTATGTCTGTTAGCAGTGTGCCTGTCTTTTCCTACATAAATTTCTTCAATTACTACATTCATTTGGGAATTGCACTTAGAGGAAAAAAAAAAACCCCAGAAAGTTGAGGAACTGATTAGGGATGGACTAGGACTGAGGACAAGCCAGACCCTGAGGTGAAACAGAGGCCAAAGCTTGCTTTTGCTGTCTCCCACCACCACGAACTGTTGCTCCTCTGCCATGTGCCCCCCTGCCTTGGAACCAGCTGATTACACACTGAAACCTCTGCAAAGTGTGAGCTAAATGAACTTGTCCCCCTTTTAAATTTGGAGGTTGTGTATTGTGTCTCAGCAGCGAGAAAAGTAATTAAGATAGAATTTGGTACCAGGAAGTGGGGTCATTGCTGTGATCCTGTGGTTCAGAATCCTTTGGGACTGGTTTGTGGGAAGAGTTTGGAAAGGTTTGCAGATGCTGGCTGAAGAAAGTAGAGCCGAAGTACCTCAGGCTGTTCTGTATGTGGCACAGTGGGTAGAGCTCAGAAGGTTTGGGAAGTTTCTGCTGGTAAGAAAGACTGCACTGGCTGTTGGGACTCCAGATAATGTGTTATGACATGGTAGAAAGTTTGTCTGCATTTTTTTTTTTTTTTTTTGTCTTTTTCCTTTTTATCGGTACCAGGGATCGAACTCATGACTGCCTGCTTGCAAGGCAGGCGCTTATGCCACTGAGCTAAATCCCCAGCCCGAGTTTGTCTGCATTTTGCTCAAGTCCAGAGACTACCTGAGACTGAGATTAAGGGTGGCAGACTAATTTATCGGGCAGAAGAAATTTCAAGGCAGTCTACTGTTGAAGTGGTTACATGACTACTGTTAGAGGCTTTTAGCCAGACCTATGTTAAGAATCAAGAGCAATGAGAATGATTTAAAATGTTCTGAGGCTCGTCAGAAAGGAAGCTGCAGTAAAACTGAGATAGAGCAGAGGAGATTTAATTGCTAAGAAGGAACAAGAGAGAAAAAAAAAGGTGGCCTGAGGGCATCTCAAGAAGTAACAGGACTCCCACCAATTACAGCCTTAAAATTGCAAAAGTAAAGACTGCTTTGAGAAGAAAGTTACAGAGCACCATGTTCCTGAAAAGCGGCAGCATGGAGAATTTGTTCCTCAGAATTGGAGTGCCCAGAATTCAGAGTGCCCAGTGGCCCAGGCATTTGATCCCGATAGCCAAGGGAGAAGAATGCCAGGCTGCTGCTCTAGCTTGGCATCACTCAGGTAGTGCTGGTTTCAGGTGTATGCAGAATCTAAGAATTATGGAGGTTTAAAAGGCTCCCACTCGGATTTCAGACGAAAGCATGGGAGGGCAGGCAGTGTACCCCTGAGACAGTAATGTGTGAAGCCGTGAGTGTGAAGCCCAAGGTGCAGTAGAGACCCCAGATGTTTAGAGAAGCCAGGAATATGGATCATCTGAAGAAAACTGTAAGGAGGGAGCAGAGTCGGCCCAAAAGAGAAGTCATGAGAGCTACAACCAGCAGTAGTGTCATTGGGTGGAGCCACACAAGCCCTTGGAAGTTCACATCCTGTTATAGACTGCCTCAGATGCTGCACATGGAGCTACAGGATTTAATGTCTGTCCTGCTGGATTATGGATTGCTCTGGTCCCATTTATTTCTACCTCGATTTGTAACTTTTTTTTTTTTTTTTTGGTCTTTTTCATTTTTACCAGTACCATGGATCGAACTCACGACTGCCTGCTTCCAAGGCAGGCGCTTATGCCGCTGAGCTAAATCCCCAGCCCTGTTGATTTGTAACTTTTGGAATGGGAATGTCTATTTTGTGCCATTGAAAGTTGGAAGTGTTTAACTTTCTTTTCATTTGTACAGGGGCTTGCAGCTAAGAGTTTGCCTTAGATCTCAAAGGAGACTGGATTTGCACTTTTTAGCAATGCTTAAACTGTTAGAGGACTTTGCTAATTCTTGGAGATGGACTAAATGCCTTTTGCATAAATGAATGCAGATGAGACTTTGGGGGGACGAAGAGGAGAAGAAAGAAAAGAGGAGGAAGAGGAGGAAGAGAAGACAACGACGACAACTTCGACATCTGGCCTCTATGAAAATAGGAATTAAAAAAAAAATCTTAACTTTTTCTTGTAATTAGCACGTGTCACCTTGTGACTTTCCTCTCTCCCTCTTTTTTCTCTCTCTCTTCTTTCTCTGAGCTACAACTTTAGTCTTTTTAAAAATTATTTTATTTTAGGGGCTGGGGATTTAGCTCAGCGGCATAAGCGCCTGCCTTGCAAGCAGGCAGTCGTGAGTTCAATCCCTGGTACTGATAAAAACGAAAAAGACAAAAAAAAAAAAAATTATTTTATTTTCAGACAGGATCTTGCTAAGTTGTCCAGTTGAACTTGCTTTCCTCCTGTCTCAAACTTCCAGACTGCTGGGACTACAGGCATATGTCACCATGCCTAGCTCAAAAGTTTTAAAAATCAATATATCCAATGTTCTATTATCACATGATCATAATTTTATTAAAAATATTGGCAAAATACACAAAGAAAATTTTAAATTGGATAGTAATATGTGTTCTCTTTGTGAGATCACAGCAGATTTTTTTCTTTACTTCTATTTTTCTGTATTTTCTAGTTTTTATAAAGAATATATACTACTTTTATCACAGGAGAGCTTTATCTTAAATTCTTTATTTAGTCTATTCTGGGGCTGACTACTTACATCCACTATGAAATCTTCGGCCTTTAATTCAGCTTCCAGGAACATTTCCAGAGGTTTAGCATCAGCAACCTGTTTTGGAAGGTGTTCATAGTCTTCCTACAAAAGATAAGGCCTCATGTTAAAACCTCAGCTTTTCATCAAGTGTTTGGGTCACAAATAGGTTCCCTGTCTAAAAATGGTACTTCATTATGAAAAATGGTTAGTGATATCCTTGACAGATACAGCTCCTACCTATGCTATCCATTTAACAGAGCAATGTTCATAAAGAAATTTCACACTTAGAATAAAAACAGCGGCATTATGGGTTATGTATGGACTTCCTTCTAATAGAGAAATAAGAGGAAGTAAAGTGTAACCCAACAAATCATTATGAGGTAATAATAATTAATCAGTTCACTGGGTTTCTGTCATACAAAAAAAAAAAAAAAAAAAAAACTTTAAGAAGCCAGAGGCAAAAATAGATACTTGAACTAAAAAAAGACAGACACATGCCAACTGGGAGAGCTGATATAATGTGAAGGAAATAAGTACAGGTGACCCTTGAACAAAGCAGGTCCACTTACATGTGGATTTTCTTGTTTTTAAGATATGGGACAATTTGGAAAAAAAAATACCTTGTGGACAAATTGCAAGCCTAGCAATATGGAAAAAACTGAGGAAAAGGATAAATTATATATGAAGATATTAGAAAATGTTTTTTATTGCCATAGACTATATAAGACTATTATACAAAATTAAATTTTATCAAAATGTACAATACAAACTATATGTGGCTCCAATCTAAGTTGAGAGAAATATGAATCGTAACTGTTTAAAACTAACTGTAGTACATATTATAGTACCATAACAATTTTCCAGCCACTTTCTATTGCTGCTGTGGCAATCAGGTATTGCAAACATCCCCTCAAAACTCCTTGTGGTATTAATCGTTCCTATATGAGCAAAGTGTCTCTAGTAAACTGTGTATTGTGATGAAAACTTATCTATTCCAGTTCTCCCATATTTTTCATTGTATATTATATAAATACAGGGCTGGGGATTTAGCTCAGCAGCACAAGCACTTGCCTGGCAAGTGTGAGGTTCAGTTCGATTTCTGGTACTAAAAAAAAAAAAAAAAATTACATATTAATAGTCTTTTCTTTTCTTTTTTTTTTTTTTTTTGATGCTGGAGATCAAACTCAACCTCACACTTGCTAGGCAGGTGCTTACTCCACTGAGCTAAATCCCTAGACCTATTAACTGACTTTGATATCATCAGTAAGATGTTCAATTAACAGCAGGCTACTAGTAAAGTTTCTGGGCAGCCAAAAGTTATAGGAGAATATTTTACTGTTTCCGAGTCCATCCCTGAGTCCCAGCCCTGGTGTTAAGCAAACTCTAGTTCCAACAGTTGTTAAGTTTCAGTGGAGCTTACGCAGGTATTTTTTGATTTTCAGGGTCTTTTTACTGATACTTATTTTCCTGTGCTAGGAGCTGAAGCTAACATCTGAAGCCCCTTCTTTTTTTGTGAATGAAAAGTTTGGAGTAGACTTGGTTTTTTGAATTTTTTTTTTTTTTTTTTTTTTTTTTGTCTTTTTCGTTTTTATCGGTACTAGGGATCGAACTCACGACTGCCTGCTTACAAGGCAGGCGCTTATGCCACTGAGCTAAATCCCCAGCCCCTGTAGACTTGGTTTTGAATCCTGGTTGCCTGTGTTCCCATGAGCAGGTTTTCATCTCACCCTGCGCTCAGTTTCTCATCTGCTAAACAGGTCTGCACATACTGCCTTGCTCTGAACTGTGATGAGTTAACGGTTCCTACTGAAGAGAGATGGCAGTAACCTCTCACTAATGAGAAGATGCTTGGTAACTTACCCTCATAATCCGTTTCCCAGGCTGGGTCTCACCGAGATATTTATACAGATTACGGCATTCAATATTTTTTAAAACTTCTCGTGCAGCATCCAAGTTGGGATCAGTAGAGTGTAAAATCTCCAGAAAAATGTTATCTGCCAATATGAGAAATTTTAGTTACATTAAAATGTACTATTTTACTCCTAAACTGCTTTTAAGAAGCAGTTCATGTATGTTGGCATAGTATAATTTTAGTCATGTGAAGTTTTTAAAGAGATGAATAGAAAAATCTCTTTAAAAATGTTTCATTTAATGTCTTGGGCTCACTTCAACGTAATCCAGTGTTAAATTATGGTGACTTAATACGACTGTACTACAGCTGATGACTGTTGGGTTGGGAAGTGGGATTGATTATAGATTGACAGCTTAGGTTTTTTTTTTTTTTTTTTTTCTTTTTGAGACAAGAGTTTCACTATGCAGTTCAGGCTCGCCTTGAACTCACAGCAATCCTCTTGTCTCAGTCTCCTGAGGGTTGGGATGACAGGTGTGTGCCACCGGCTCTTAACACTTTGGAATGATAACTAAATACATTCAAACAAAATTGTATCTAGGATCTACTTCAAAACAGGTCATTGTTTGATGGGAGTGGGCACATGAGGTGAATGAGGTAAAACTGCTATATATAACTACTGAAGCTAACTGCTGAGTACATGAAATTTTGTAAATGTCTTTAACCAAATATTTCAAATATTCCATTCCACAATAACAACAGAAAAAAAAATTTCCTTTTTTTGGGCTTCCTTCAATTAATTTTTCATGTTTTTTTTTTTTTTTTTTTTTTTTTTTTTGGTACTGGGGATCGAACTCACGACCACACATTGCAAGGCAGGCACTTATGCCGCTGAGCTAAATTCCCAGCCCTCAATTAATTTTTTTTTTCTTTTTCCTTCTTATCAGTACCAGGGATTGAACTTATGACTATCTGCTTGCAAGGCAGGCGCTTTATGCCGCTGAGCTAAATCCCCAGCCCCTTCAATTAATTTTTAATAGCCATAGGCTGGGTGTGGTGGCACATGCCTGTAATCTCAGCACTGAGGAGGCTGAGGCTGAAGGAATTCCATGAGTTTGAGGTCAACCTGGGCTATAAAGTGAGTTCAAGGCCAGCTTGCCTGCATCATGAAACCTTGTTTCAAAAGGACAAAAGAAAACACAAAACCAATAGCCACTGGGGCTGGGGATTTAGCTCAGTGGCATAAGCGCCTGCCTTGGAAGTAGGCAGTCGTGAGTTCGATCCCCAGTACAGTAAAAAGGAAAAAGACCACACACACACACAAAAAAAAAAAACACCAAATAGCCATTACCTAAATTCCATAATCATTAAGATTTTTCAACACATGCCCATTCTGTGCATAATTTTTTTGTGAAATATCTGAACACTACAGACACCAAGACCTTCACCTCTAAATACTTCAGCATGTCTCTCCTGAACAAGAACTGTCTCTTCTATAGAGACCAACACATTTAACACTGACATAAAAATGGTACGTAAACTGGCATTGTAGTGCATGCTTGTAATCTCAGCACTCAAGTAGCTGAGGCAGGAAGATCATAAGTTTGACGCCAGCTACACAGTGGAGCTCTCTCCCCACCAAAACTTCTCTTAATATATATCTGCCCTCAAATTAGCCTCAGTAATTTAACTTAAGGATTTTTATTACTGGGTAGAGAAATCAATCAAGTATATGAATAATATTAGTGGTCATACTTTTTTAAATGTTCATCTAGAACCAGAATATTTATTCTTTTTGCCTTTCAAGATACTGATATTGTAGAAATATTGTAGAAAAGTTCAGGTAGTTGTGCCTCTATGCATGTGTATGTGTGTTTACCTTCAATATTAATAGGGACCTCCCCCTCAACTATGTATCTTGCCCTTTTTCATTTTTTTCCTTTTTATCAGTACCAGGGATCTAACTCACGACCACCTGCTTGCAAGGCAGGCACTTATGCCACTGAGCTAAATCCCCAGCTCCCCTTTTTCATTCTTAATTTATTTATTTGTGGTACTAGAGATTGAACCCAGAGATGCTCTATCATTTACTTATATCCTGAGCCTTTTTTATTTTGAGATAAGGTCTTACTGAGTTGTCCAGGGTAGTCTTGAACGTAAATCCTTCTGCCTCAGCCTCCAAAATTACTGGGATTAGAGGCATGAAAGGCATGAACAGTCCTGCCATGCCTGGCCAGCTGTTTTATAATATATTCATTCTACCACCATGATGGGTTATGTTGTATTTGACCAGTTGGTTTAGGTAATAATCTTCAGACTCCTCAACTATAAAAAAAAAGAAAGCTGCTTCATGTACTCTATGCCATTTAAATGTATATAGCCTTCCCTATTGATTTTGTGGTCATCTCATTCCTCACATTGAATGATGCTTTCTACAATCTTTCCATTCTCAGGTTCATTGTTTCCACACATACTACAAACAGTTTAAAAAATGGAATTTATGTTAACACACCCAGATGAGACTCTGTTGTTACTCTTAGGAATTGAACTCAGGGTGTTGTGCATGCTCCAACACTGAACTATATTCTTAGCCCCCACCACCACCTTTAAATGCTTTTATTTTGAAACAAGGTCTCATTAAGATGTCCAGCTTGGTGTTGAATTTGCAACCCTCATGCCTCGGCCTCCCAAGTGCTACTTTATTATTGGGTGGAGAAATCAATCAAGTATATGAATAATATTAGTGGTCATACTTTTTTAAATGTTCATCTAGAACCAGAATATTTATTCTTTTTGCCTTTATTCCAGATAAGTTTTCGGGAAAGAGTAATACAGAAGCAGAGGAAGCTGCTTATCTATCAAACTTAATGGCCAAGCTACCACTCTGAAATAATGTAGACAGCATTCAATTTGGGAGTCCAAATACTTGGATTTGTTGTTTATTTGGGTATGTTGTGTTTTCCTCCATGTAGCCTCTGTTTCCTCATTTGAGAGTTGGAAGTATATGACCTAAATCACAAATTTAAGATTCTATGATCAAACTTCAGAATTGTTGGTGTGTGGGTGTGTGTGGCTTTTATGTTCTACCATCACTTAGGAATATTGAGGGACGAAGACCAAGATAATTGTATTCAGGGCAGATGGTAAAAGAGGGTATAACTCAACAGTAGGGCACCTGTCTGGCATTTGCCAGCCCTGGGTTTGAGCCCTAGCACCAAGAAAAAGGAAAACATGAAAAGCAAAACAAAAACGGGTAAGATAGCTATACCCAGAACATGAACCAGCAACAGGATTTTTAGGAAGCAGAGCACAGAACCATAAACTGTGGCAGAAATGGGTTACTGACACTTGTAACCTGGATAATTCTCAAAAACATAGGACTTTGCACAGTATGACTCCACTAGCATAAAAACTTAAAGGCAAAAAATAGTTTGTTCTTCTAATTGGAAAGGAGCATGAAAGCGCTTTCTGAGGAGAAAAAAATGTTCAGTGTCTTGTAGTTGCCAAAATTCTAGTAAATGTACACAACATTTGCACATATGCATGAACTGTATATAAATTTTATAATAAAAGAAAAATCAATTAACAGAAAATATAAACTACTGAACTTAAATTAATATGCATATTGAACAATTTAGGTTACTCTGAATGGCATCAAATGAGATAGATTAATGGATGGATAGGAGGATGTAATGAAGTGCTAAATACAAAGTAAAGTAAGTTCAGTAATTGGGCAGAATTTAGGTGATGAGTATACCAGTGTTCACAGAAAAATTCTTTTGAAATTGCTGAATATTTTCAATTCTTCAAAATAAAATGTGAGAAACATTCCAAAAAGACGGGAAAAAAAAGCCTAGGAAGTTGAAATTTTTGTTTGTATTTATTTAGTCTTTTTTTTTTTAAATCGGTACTGGAGTTCGAACTCACAACCACATGCTTGTAAGGCAGCCGCTAATGCCCCAGCCCCGCTAAATCCCCAGCCCCTATCTTATCTTTTTGAGAGAAGGTCTCACTATGCAGTTCAGGCTGGCCTTGAGCTCATTTTTTAGTCCAGCCTGGTCTCGAATTTGCAATGCTCCTCTTGCCTCAACTTCCTGATTGCTGGGATTACAGATGTGAACCACCATGCCCAGCAAGGAAGTTGAAATTTTTAAACAATATATGCTGCATTGACTTTTGAAAAAGCAACAAAGGTAACAGAGACCCTCGTAGTCCTATTCTTTCAATATCAGGCAGTTAAGGACAATAAGGATTATAATACTACTCAGAATAATATGCAAGAATATTGTTTCTGTCTCAAGTGATCAAAGCTGGACAGGCCATCTTCCCTTCTCTATGCTGGTAGATAAAGCACAAGCATGTGACCTACCTAATCTCTTACTTGGGATTTTTATACCTGAAGAAATGATGGAAAGAGACTAGAAGAGTTTAGATCATTGTAACCCTAAATGGAATCTATAGGGCAGTGCTTGTCTATTGACTGCTAACTAAAACAGCAGAGGCAAGCACAGCAATTGACATTAAGCACTGAAAACTTGTTGAGCCACTTTGGCACTGCTACAATATCCAAGTGCAGGCTCTTAACATTGCTACAACATACAAGTATGTCTCAAGGAACGTGGTAAAAGCCAATATGGGTGACATGGAACCTTCATGGTGAGCAAGAGCTTTCTTACAGTTACACAATGTGGACTACCTTAAAATGCATACTACTTTCAGGTTAGTTTGTCAGCTGACCCAAGCATATAAAATCCAGAATACATGTATCTTCACCAAAAATAGCTTAAATGCAACTATAGCTCTACAGAATAAGTTGTTAGAACTGACTTTTAATGAAAGATCGAAGATGACTTTTCAAAATATGGCATCATTTCTTTTATTATGAATTAAAAGTTAAAAATATCCCCAGGTTGCTCAAATCTCTAGGTTGTTTTAAAATCTCCTTTTTCATTCCTATCAACTTAAAGATGGGAGACTACCTTAATTATGTTACTATTAAAACAGAACAGAGAAACAATTTAGATACACATTACCTTTTGTAATTTTGTCATCAATCCAACTCTACATCAGACATACTAACAAGCAAGAAAAAAATTTAGCTGTCCCATTATAAATCTTAAATAGTGACAGTGTACTCAAGAGTGTACGAAGACATTTATTGTGAAGAATCACCACTTTTGGTTTTAGCTCATTTATGATTGGAAAATGGCTACAAATTTACAAGTGCAAAAAGGGTTCTCTTACATTAACTGCTTGTATCTATACACACATCCCTTGGTAATTGTGGCGAGACTGGCTTTAGGATCCTCGTTACTACCAAAATCCAAGGATGCTCATGTCCCTTATGTAAAATAACCTGCACATATCCTTCTGTGTGTGTGTATATATATATATATATATATATATATATTTTTTTTTTTTTTTTTTTTTTTGGTCTTTTTCGTTTTTATCGGTACCAGGGATCAACCTCACGACAGCCTGTTTTCAAGGCAGGTGCTTATGCCGCTGAGCTAAATCCCCAGCCCCCTTTCTGCATACTTTAACCTCTAGATCACCCACATTAACTAATTGGACATAAATGTTATATAAATATTTGTTGTATTGTGCTGCTTAGGGAGAAATGAATTAAAAAAAGTATATACATATTTAGAATAGACACGTTTTCCCATTTTTGGATTCACAGTTAGCTGAATCATCAGTTGCAAACATGTGGACATAGAGAGCCAAATGTATTTTAGTGAGTAAGCCTGTGGACATCTACCTATGTTGGGGGCGGGGGGAAGCAAACTCATGACCTTGTGCTTGTCTGGCAGGTACTTGTGCCGCTGAGCTATATCCCCAGCCCCTAAATGTATTTTTAAAGAGTATGTATACTTTTTGTAATGCAAATTTTTTTCTATTATATTTATTAAACAGTAAAGTCTGACAAAGTTGGGTGTGGTGATATACACTGTAATCTTAGCACTCAGGAAGCTGAGGCAGGAGGATCATGGTGAGCTCAAGGCCAGTCTAGACTAAACAGTGAGTTTAAGGGCAACCTAGACTACATAGTAACACCATGTCTCAAAAAACAAAACGAAGAACAAAATATGGGCTTACATTTATATATCCCATTGCCCCATCTTATTTCTCTAATGATTTTTTTTAAAGGCATTTGGGGTCTAGGTCATGGTCTTGAACATACTAAACAAGTACTCTACCACTAAGCTATAGGTCCCAGTAATTTATTTTTATCTTATTTTACAGAAATGACCAATCTAAAGAGCCGAAAATTTTTGGAGAGAATCTGGCTCAGGTTTTGCTCTGGTAGTACACTGCAAACGAACGCACCCAGGACAGACTGGCAGGAGCCTGGGCTGTACCAAGCAAGGAAGCTGTGCAGAAGGGTCTGCCTGTATCTTAGGTCACTCTGTTCCTATTATTTTTGCCCATTTCAGGACCTCCAGCTTTACCACTGATTTTGTGGGCTGTGTGTCTAATTTCTGATATTTTGTATTTTATTTTATTGGTATCGGAAGCCAACTCACGACCTTGCACTTGTCAGGCTGGTGCTGTGCCACTGTGCTACCTCCCCAGCTAACCCTCTTTTTAGTTGCACAGAGTGCAACTACAAATTCTGACTGGTCTATACTTTTTGTTCTTCCTTTGCTTCACTCATCTTCATTCTCTATTTATACTCCCCCTAGTTTAAAGAACTGCTACTGCACCCTCATCTCTTACTCTAAATATGAAGGCACAGGGCTGGGGATATAGCTCAGTGGTTTGGTGCCTGCCTCGCAAGCATGAGGTCCTGAGTTTAACTCCTGGTTCAAAAAAAGAAATACGAAGAGATAATCCTGCCTCACATGCTTTGCAACACAAATAATGTTAAAAAAAGCTGAGTGTGGTGGCACATAGCTGTAGTCCCAGAACTTGGGAAAGGTGAGGAAGGAAGATCACAAGTTTGTGTCTAGTCTAGGCTAGATTTACACAGACTCTCAAAATAATATACCTCTTTTTTATAAGCAAGAAAACTAAGTTTCAGGGAAGGTAAGTCTCTTTACCAAGATCACCTTATTAATATAAAATGAAAGCAAACTCAAATTTAAAAGTACACAGTAAAATCACTTAAGAAGTTAAAATACATTTGAAAATTAGGAAAGTAACCCATCAGCAATCCAGGGATTCACACCATATCTGAGATGGATCATCTATGTTACCTTCAGTTCTTACCTGTCAGCTTGGTGAAGGCTTCCATGTCATCAATTGCTGTAGAAATGCGGTATTTTTTCCCTTCAGCACCTAAAATCTTTATGTAGGGGTCTGCTTTGAGGAAAGCATCTGTAATCCTAAAGATCATTTTATGAAAATATGCTTAGAGAAATTTTGAGTATTTGTGCTTTATGCCTTACTGAAAGGGATCTTCCTACTCTGGAAAAATAAAACCTTGCGGTAGGATGTTCTGAAGACAACTGCTTGTTTCTCACACTAAGTAAGTACAGGGTGATCTGTGATCTACCGTGTTAACTGTCTTCCAGGCACTATGGGGAGGGTTTCAGATGTTATCTTACTTTTCCAACAATGGGTAGGTATAATTAGCTCTAATTTTACAGACGTAGAAATAAAATAATTTTCCTTCAAGCAAGTTAGGAAGAAGCACTGCCAGACTTTGAATGTAGATCTTTCTGACTCTGAATTTTATTTATTTTTTGGGGGGGTACCAGGAACTGAACTTAGGATCTCATGCCTATCAGGCAGGCACTATGTCACTGAGCTAAATCCCTGGCCCTCTGTGTCTGAAATTTAAAATATCTATCATACTAATAAAACAACAGATTTTAGCTAATCTACTCATGATAAAGGATAGGTAAAAAAACAGAAATGAAGAAAAACTATCACAACATGAAGAGAAATGAACATGAAATGAACAATGATTCATTTAATGCTATTTTAGGGACAAAGAATCAATTTGACTCAAACCCAGTCTTTTTTGTACTGGGATCAAACCAGTACAAAGCAGCACATTCTAGGCAAGCTCTACCCTAGCTAGGCCTTTCTAAATTTTAGAAAGACCCCTAAATTTTATTTTGAGACAGAGTCTCACTAAATTGCTCAGGTTGGCTTTGAATTTTTAATCTTTCTCCTCAAAGTAGCTGAGATTACAAGTATACTCTATCATACTTCACACTCATATTCAAACTTTGGGATCTCTGAGTTATATACAGATTCTACTCTAATATTTTGCTTTGGTTCTGATCAAATCAGAAGGTGAAATTCCTGTTAGATTTACTACCTGTTACTAACTTTGATACATATATATTTGACAGAATAAAACAGACATGACTCTTAATGCTCAATACTATTATTATTACTATCAGAATGTCAACTACTCACGTCCCACCTCCTTACTTCCGTAACTAGTATATGGTACATAAATAACGACCTGTGCAGAGGTCCGGAGCCATTTCAGCTCTGCCTCTCTACATCCAGTCTAAGAGAGCTCCTCTGCCAGTCATCTACACTACCCCCTACTTGTCTTTTTTCCTCCTCTTTAGCTAAGTTTACTTTATTCTGGATTTAAAAAAAAAATTTAGATTTACTTAAGACCCAACTTAAATTTATCTATAAGTCTTAATTTTAGCCAAGTATGATTATCCAGTAAAGCACCATGGCAGATATTTTGGGGGAATGGTACTGGGAATCAAACTCAGGACCTCATGCTTGCCAGGCAGGTACTGTACCACTGATCTAAACCCCTGGTCCCAGCCATGCTAGGTTTTATAAGGAAATAACAGCAAAATTTCTTACATTGTATCAATGATGTTACCAACTTTATGTTGATAAGCTCTGCGGTGTAAACTGTTACGTGTATGGAACATGTCATACAGATTTCCCACCTCCTGCAAAAAAACATGAAGGTACATTAATTCAGGATCAGACTGTATGAATCTTGCTAGGAGACAAATTCCTAAGATAAAAAGGATGATGACAGACAAAAAGGCTACACAGAGGAAGTATTCATTAAATCCTTGAGGTGACTAAATGAAAGGGGTAGGTAAAATTATTTATTGGTTTGAAACTTCTCCTCTTTTCACTTTTCTTTTCTTCTTTTCCTCCTTTCCTCTCTCCTCTCCATCCCTTCTTTCTTAAGATTGAACCCAAGGTCTTTACACTGAAGGACTACATTCCTAGTCCTTTGTTAATTTTTTTTTTTTTTTTTTTTTTTTTTTTTTTTTTTTTTGATCCTGGGGATCAAACTCATGACCTTGCACTTGCCAGGCAGGCGCTTACACCACTGAAATAAATCCCTGGCCTTTTTTGTCTTTTTGAAACAGGGTATCACTGTGCAGTTCAGGCTGGCCTTGGGCTCACTAGGCTGGTCTCAAACTTACAACGATCTGCCTGCCTCAGCCTCCCAAGTGCTGGGACTACAGGAGTGTGCCACCACACGTGGCACTCCTCTAATTTTTTGAGACAAGGTCTAAATCACTAAATTGTCTAGGCTGGGCCTGAACTTGTGACACTCCTGCAAATATGTGGTCGTAAGTTCGATCCCTGGCACCAATAAATAAATAAATTAATAAATAAGTAAGGTTTGTCCTCAGCAAAACTCATGTCAAAAGTCAGTCCCCAAAGAAACAGTGTTGAGAAATGATGGGACCTTTAAGAAGTAAGTAGGTTTTGGGAGCTTCATCCTGATGAAGGATTAATGCAGTCCTTATAAGAGTAGTTTGGTTATAAATAAAACCTGGCATCTTCTCTTGCTTTCTTTAGAATGTGCCTGCTTGCCCTTCTGATTTCCCCCCATACATTGCGCGGTAAGTGATCCTTATTAGAAACCAAGTGTTATGGTTAATACACTGATACATTAAAAGTTTAAAAGTTTAACTAAGAGTTTTAGAAGGGAGCCAGGGTTCTACTTTGTAAATATCCTCGTCCTGTGCAAGAGGAAGGCAAGATTTTCTGAGAGCTATACCCACCCTGGAGAGTGGGGTGGCTGCACACAATATAAGGGGGAAAAGAGGCTTGTTCCTCCACCTTTTTGTTCTGGCTGCTTTTGCTGGCTACAGCCTTGAAATGCTGCCACAGTGCCATGCCACCCTGTCTTGGAGCCAACTAATTATGGACTGAAACTCTACAAACAGTAAACTAAATAAACCTTTCTTTCCTTCATTTTGAGTGTTAGGTATTTTGTCTCAGCAATGAGAGAAAAGTAACCAAGACACTAAGCAGATGCCCGTGCCATGCTCTTTGGTCTCATCTGTGAATGAAATGAACCTTTTTTCTTTCTTTTGTTTTTTTTTTTGTGCTGGGGATAGAACTCATGACCTCACACTTGCCAGGCAGGCGCTTAAGCCACTGAGCTAAATCCCCAGCCCCTAACCTTTTTTCTTTATAAAGTATCCAACTTTACATATTTTCTAATAGCAACAAAAAACAGACTAAGACAAATAGGGTAATAATAGTATTTCATAGGGTTATAAGGCTTGTTGATCCAGTCAGAGCACTTAAAACAGTGCCCAGGGCTAGAGATATAGTCCAGCGGGACAGTGTTTGCCTAGTGAGGGAGCATGAGCACTTAGTTTCAATCCCCAATATCACAAAAGACAGCAACAACAACAACAACAACAAAAAATGCCCAGGACAAGGCAAAATAAATGTTTACTTTAAAATTATTACTACTTAGCAATACAGTAGAAATGAAGAGTCCTAAGATATCTAGAAATACATTAAATACAAAGGTTAATCATTTCCCAATTTTTAAATAGCGGAAAATTACTTTTCAGATTTTAAGCCAGGAACTATACTCATCTTGTTGTCCCCTTTAACATAGCTTACCTTATCTCTAGTGCAAATATGCTTCCTATTATCCACTTCACAGACACGGACAAACTTAAGAAAGCGCTTGTAATCAAAATTATTTTGGATTCCAAGATGATGGCAGTCCCTATAAAGAATCAAAAGAAAAAGATGAAATTTTTCAATACAAAAAGTGTACTTTAAATAATAATACTGAATTTATATGAGGATTTTACACAACTTTTCTGAAGAGTTCAGAGCATACCTGGCAAAATAATCCCATTTATCTACATCAATGCCATTTCTTTTATTAGCCACTATCTCATAAAGGAAGCTTTTCTCTTCAGGACGTCCTTTATATGGCCACTAGAAGACAAGAAAACCCAAGCAAAGCTTTAGGATAGACAACAAGTCTATTTGCTAGCAAAACAACTGTGTTCATCTGCAAATTATAAACTGGTAGTAAGAGATAAACTGGAAGGATCTTTCTTTCAATTGATTCTAATAAAAGTAGAAAGGGACAAGAAATGTTAAGGTATACTCTACGTCCTATTAATACTAAATCTTCAGCCTAGGAATGTAGCTCAGTGGTAGAACACACACACACACACACACACACACACACACACACACTCAAAACTTCAAGTGCCATTTAAAAGATCATAATATATAAGATTTCTTGTTCATGGGCAAACAAAACTGTTTCATTTCTGGACTTAAAATCTTTTTTAAAATATGACTTAATAATAAACTAGTAAGAATGTTCCTGAAGTGATAATGCTTAAATTTATGAATAAAAATTATACTGTTCACATATCTAATAGCTTTATAGTTTGGCTCCATGTCTAGTCTAAATGGCATGAATACACTTCAAAACATTTTTGGACCTCTACATTTCTGGAAATCAGGTATTTGCTACAAAATCCACCTTTTAATCTTACATTTTACTGGCTGGGCATGGTAATGCATGCCTGTAATCCCAGAACTCAGGAGGCTGAGGCAGGAGGATGACTGTAAGTTTGAGGCCAGTATGGGCCACTAAGTTCAAGACCAGCCTGAACTGCATAATGAAACCTATCTCAAAATAACAAAAAAAAAAATGTTATGTTTTATAAGTAGCTTTGCATTATGTAAGGGAAAAAAACCTTTATAATCTTAAAGGAAAATTATTTTCTAACTTGTTTTAAAATTAAAATGAGCTCCCCAATGAGCTTGCCACCATGGGCCCAGAGAAGAAGCCATGCCGCTCAGTGGACCCACTGCTTTGAGCCCGGAGAAGCCAGGACACTCTTCACTCCCCCAATCCCCATGAGACTACTGCCTTGGGCCAGGAGGATAAACCACACCCCAAGGTCAACTGCCATCAGCTGCAGCCCCACACCAGGAACCTTGGATTGGAGGAACCCAGGTACCTAACCCAATTTCCTGCACTGCCACGATGGGCAGCCAGTGCAGAAAGCACCCACAACTCAGCAACCACCTGATTCAGAGGAACACAGGAAAATGTCAAGACAAAGGAGCAAGGTACAATCTCAACCTCCAGCTCACCCAGAACAAATCCAGGAGACAGACGCAAAAGAAATTGGAAGCCACACACCTGAAATTTCTGAAATGATAGCAACTGAAGTAAATAACTGAGTACTTCTATTGTTTGATTTACTTTGCATGCCTGTAGCTGGTAGTCTGAGCAACTATTTAGAGGATGACAATGTGCAATATAGTAACTATTGTTGGTTGCCTACTGTCTTTGTTTTTGAAATCCAATAACATTCTCTTTGTTTTGTTTTATTATTTTATTCGCTTTAAAATAAAAAAAATTAAATTAAATTAAAAGTACAAAAGATATTCCTCTGAACTAGTTCAACTCTTTAGGTCTTCATATATCTAAATATTCCAAATAGGTTAACTATAATGGATAAACAAAGTATACTTTTACATTTGAGAAAAATTTATTTAAAGCTTCTATCTAAAATATTGTATATAAATTCATTAAAAAGGATTTATAAATACTTTAAATTTAAGAGTATTAAAGAACTCAGTTAAAAGGTACAAAAAATATAAAACTTTCATTTTTTTGGACTAGACAGTAGAAATATATGACCTATGTTTGTCATTGGCTCCTTTAAAAAGCAAAATATGTAGCTATAAAATAACTGGAAACATACTAGAAAAGAGCATCTGTCAGTTCAAATTAAACTGAATACAGTACAAACTTACCAAAGAATCTTTAGCTGGTGATTCAAGTGGTCCTGCAATTTGTTCCTTGATAAAACAAATATCTTCCTCAGGGATGAGACCATACTGTTCCATGACAGTCCTGAGTCCATTAGAATTAACTAAGTACTCAAACATCTGAACTGATCCCTGTTCATGCTGGGAAAAAAAAAAATCAGGATAATATGGCCTGTTAGAGACTCTAGTCTAACTGTACAAATTACTATTTTCTTAGGTAATGCTGACATAAAGGTACTGGTTGTTCTCCTGCACATTAGTTACCTAATTGCTAACTATAGTTTTGCAATGTTTAAAACCTGCCACTTTTGACAGTATTTGTCTACAAAGCATCTACAAGCCATGCTCATTATATCACAATATAATAAACACATTTTATGAGACATAATGATTTATGGTAACTAGAAGAGCATTATCAGGTCATACAGGCAGAATCCCATTTTAATGAATATCACTGTAAGAATTTAGTCCTACTTTTTCAGTGTTGGAACAAATGACACTAATACCTGTTAGTGCTTTCATCTAGTGGCAAATAGAGGTAACTTCAACCTTGTCAGTAAAATCAAGGCCCTGAAATCAAAATCTTGTGGGGAAATTAGACTCTGAAAGCAAAATCTTTGGGTTGAGCCGGGTGTGGTGGTGTATGCTTGTAACCCAGCACTTGGGAAGCTGAGGCAAGAAGATCGTTTCAAGTTGGAGACCAGGCTGGGTTATAAAGTGAGCTCAAGGCCAGCCTAACCAGTGCTGTGAGACCCTGTCTCAAAAAGTCAAAAAAGAAGAGAAAATGAAAAGATCTGAGGGTTGAGAGCCAGGCATCGTAGTACATGCCTACCTAGCAAGTTCAAGGCCAGGCTGGACTACATAGCAAGATCCTATCTCAAAAACTGAAAACCAAACACCAAATAAACTAAAACAAATGAAAAATTAGATTGAAGTCTCAAATTAGCCTCAACTGGCTTATTTTTTGGCTTACCCACAATATTGTAAAGATCAAATCATTTTTTGGAGACGCTAATTCTATTCCAGGTATCACCAAAAGTAACTCAAAACTATCTTTTAAAAATCGAATCAAGGGGGCTGGAGGTTTAGCTCAGCGGCATAATCGCCTGCTTTGCAAGCAGGCAGTCGTGAGTTTGATCCCCGGTACCGATAAAAAGACACACACAAAAAAATAAATAAATAAAAATAAAATCAAGATATATATATTAACGTACTTACAAAAAGTTAAATGGTAACTACATTGTGGAAATTTGACAGACACTCCCTTAACCAAGTGATCAAAGTTACTACCACAAGCAGTGGGTCAAACAGATTCTATATACACCTGCACGTGCTACATAAGAAGGATGTATAGCTTTCTTGGTATTCTACCAGAAATAGCAAACTTGGCTATGCTAATATTAGATCAACGAACACTCACATTGCCTTTGGCTCCTTTAAAATAGCAAAATACATAGCTGTAAAAATAACTGGAAACAGACTAGAAAAGAACATCCACAAAATAGTCCACCTACTCTTTGCTTTTTTTTTTTTTTTTTAAACTTTTTATCGGTACTAGGGATCGAACTCACGACCGCCTGCTTGCAAGGCAGGTGCTTATGCCGCTGAGCTAAATCCCCAGCCCCCAGTCCACCTACTCTTAAGAAAATGGCAAAATCAGAAGGCTGGGCAAGGTGGCCCATGCCTGCAATCCTAGCACTGAGAGGCTGATGCAGGATTGCCACAAGTTCAAGGTCAGCCTGGGCTACATGGGGAGTTCACAGCCAGTGTAAACTGTACAGTGATACCTTGTCTCAAAAAAAAAAAAAAAAAAAAAAAAAAAAAAGTCATGAAAGATAGAAACTGAAGAATCATCCCAGATCAAAAGACAAACAACAAAAAAATATATATTGAATTTTACACTAAGAAAGATTTTTCCCTTTTTCTAATACTGTCAGTTGGTGAAATCGGAAAGTATGTATATTGGATAATAGTACTGCATCAGCACTTAAAATACTTGAGAATAAAAATATGTCCAGCTGGGTGTGGTGGTACATGTGTAAAGTCTCAGGTACTTGGGAGGCTGAGACTGAAGGATCACTTTCACCCTGGAGTATCAGGCAACCTGGGCGATAGCAGGACCCTGTCTCAAAAAAAAAAAAAAAAAAAAAAAAAAGCGTATGTGCATACTAAAATGGTGCAGAAAAACATCATATACAGCTTTTAAAAAGAGCATATTTAAAAGAAAACACAGCAACACATTAACATTTGGCAAATATAGATTGAAGAGTTTTTTCTGTGAAAACCAAACTTTTCATGTGAAAACCAAATGTTAAAAAAAAATTCAAGCAGAGAAGTCATTCAAATGGGAAGGGGAAAGAGATGGAGAGAGAAGAGAAATTTAAAGAAAAAAACTGAAGTATAAAAATGGAAGTAGAGCTTTTAAAACTGAAGAGTTTGGGGGAAGCGAAAGGCCAAAATAATAATAATAATAATAATAATAATAATAATTGCAAGAATGGTAGGGTATGCCTGTAATCCCAAAACTCAGGAGGCTGAGCTAGGAGGGTCCCCAAGAATTCAAGGCCAGGAAAAACTAGTGAGATTTTGTCTTAAAACAATCAAGAGTATAAAGATTAAAAAAGAAAAACACCTTAGTATTTGCAGATGCACTGAATTGCAAATATATATATATATATATATATATATATATATATATTTTTTTTTTTTTTTGTCTTTTTCCCTTTTATTGGTACCGGGGATCGAACTCACGACTGCCTGCTTGCAAGGCAGGTGCTTATGCCACTGAGCTAAATCCCCAGCCCCACAATGATCTATATTGAAAACGCAAAAGAATCTATAAAGTTTTTAGAATAAAGGTGGAACAAAGTTGTAGTTTCAAATAGATTCAAATATATTAAAGCCAAATATACTAGTATACCAAAAGTGTAAATTTCAAAAAGTACAGTTAATAACAGCCAAAATTGGGCTGGAAATTTAGTTCAGTGGCATAAGCGTCTGCCTGGCAAGCTCAAGGCTGTGACTTTGATCCCTGGTACCGCAAAAAAAAAAAAAGCCTGCCTGGCAAGGGCAAAGTCATAAGTTCGATGCTCAGTACTAAAACAAAACAAATCAAAATGATAAGGAACTCTGTAAACATAACAAAAAATATTTAAGACTTTATAGGAGAAAACTGCAAAATTCTTAAGGGAAGAGTAAACAGGCAAAAGATCCTCCTGAATGACCTGGTAAGAACAGTTATTCTCCCAAGTACTAAGATTTACCACAGACCAATAATAATTAAGAACTTATGGACCAGATGGATTGAGGATGTGGCCCAATGGCAGAATGCTTGGCTATCATGCCCAAGGCCCTAGCTTTGACTCCTTAGGGGAGGAAGGGGGGGGCTTGAATCTAGTTTTAAGCCTTAGGGTTTGGGTTGGAATTAAGGGTGTGGTCTGAGGTGTGACTCCAGCCAGTGAGTTACCTGATTCAGCCTTTCCAGTAGGAAAAAGTTTTTGGCCTTTTATGGCCTTCACAGCAACTGTCCTGGTGTCCAGAGCCCACCAGTCAAATCTGCATAGTCAATGACATTGTAATTAGGGCTGGGGTAAACTCAGGGTTGCAGAAGACCACTGGGTGGAGTACTTCCTGTATATAAACTAACTTCCTGGTTGCCTTTCCCCATTGTATGTATGTATGATCTTTTTGAGACAGGGTCTCCCTATGGAGTCCAAGCTGGCCTTGAACTCAAGACAATTGTGCTGCCTTAGTCTCTCGAATACTGGGATTCCATGTGTGTGCCACCACACCTGGCTTCCCATTGTATTTCAATCTGGATATTCTAGTCCTGTTCTCATGTTTAACTCAGAAGGCAGATCTAGTCTAGAAAGTGGGCTCCAACATGGGCCCTCCCTTTCTTCCTGTTTTCTTGGTTACTTTATGCCTCAGATCTAGCCCAGCAAGTGGGCTCCATGGTGGGTTGGCCTTCTCCTTTTCCTCTAGTCTATTCCTTAGCTATTTCCTGCCTGAGTGCCACAAACAAACACATTTTAAAATAATTATCTATATTAAAAAGATAAAAATTAGAATTCTGCTATTCACATACACAAAAATTAATTCCCCATGAGCTAAATTCTTACATGTAAAAGGTAAAACATTTAAACAAAAGAATTTTAGATTCTACTAAATCAGCCCTGCTGCATAAAACAATTATAAATTACATGTGCAATCCCAGCATTCTGGGTGACTGAGGCAGAAGGATTGCAAGTTTGAGTATAGCCTGGGAATTTACTTAGGGCCTTTGCAAGGCCCTAACTCAAAATAAAAACTAAAAGCGCCTGACATGGTAACTCACTATGAAGGCGCTGGATTCAATGCCCAGTACCGTAAAAGAAAAAAAAAATTTCAACAAGCCTAACACTAGGAGAAAATATTCATAATACACATCCATAAATATGTATACAAATCAGTAAGAAAGACAAAAAAATTCCTTTCTTCCTTTTTTTTCCTTCACTGCTCCAGATTAAACCAGAGCTTCACTGCTGCTAGCTGCATGATCTACCAGTAAGTCATATATACCCCTACAACCCATAGAATTTTTTAAATGAATAAAACATTGAAAGAAGTTAGTATAGGTGATACAATAGGGCTGGCAGACCACTCCCCTCCACCCACTTGAGTTTGGGCAACACTCTAGAGCCAATCCCTTTTCCTTTGGTTTTCATTTTGTTTTGCTTTGAGATAAGGTCTGGTCTTGAACTCACTATGTAGTGCAGGTGGACTGGATTAGGCAGTATACTCATGCCTCATTTCTCTAACCAAATTTCATTACTAGCCATGCTGGGTCCTTCCATTGTTTTAAGATAGGCAGAAAATGAAATAACAAAGATCCAAGAAATTCCCAAAGCCTCAGACTACTGCCTATGTTCGTTAGATCTCCGGTCCTGACCTTCAATAACCTTTTTGTCACTAGAACTTTATTAATGGGGCTGAGGATTTAGCTCAGCGGCATAAGCGCCTGCTTTGCAAGTAGGCAGTCGTGAGTTCGATCCCTGGTACTAATAAAAACGAAAAAGACAAAAAAAAAAAAAAAAAAAAAAAACTTTATTAATGGCTCATAAATATGGTTCATAAATAGGATCTTAAGTTCATAAAAACTCATGATAAATAAAATTAACAATTAAAAACATCTCATGATATAGTCAGAGTGAATTCTGGGACATTCATGCTCACTGAAAGCATCTGAGATGATTTCACTCCTGTCAATCTTATCTAGAGACCCAAAGAGAGGCACCTGCATCAGGTATGATTCCCTTTAAAATGCGAAAGCTTGATTTATCTGTGTGCTGTGTTGTGCTTTTTATTTTCCTGTTGCCCCTCATATGGCTTTTCTGCTCATGTGGGACCTTCCTTGATCACATTTTCCTGCGATGTTTAATAAATGTAACTGATTATCCTGTACCACAATGCATACTACACAAGAGCTTGGAATTGATTTGCTGGATTCGCCACACAAAATCTTCACCAAAAAGATGTCAGTAACAATGTGAAGTACAAATAACAGGAAATGGTATTCAATATACATTAGAAAATCCAAATTAGTCCGGAGATACCATTTAACAGTCAGAAGTGCTAATCTGAAAGATTTCAACTGTTAGAGCTAAGGTGTGTTTCAGCTATAGAACACTTGTGCAACTTTGTGAAAAATAAATAAATTAAAAAGCCAGGTGTGGTGGTGCATGCCTGTAATCCCAGTCCTTGGGAGGCTGAGACAGGAGAATCATGAGTTTGAGGCCAGCCTGGGCTACAAAGTGAGTTCAAGGTCAGCCTGAACTGCACTGTGAAACCCTGTCTCAAAAAAGACAAAAAACAAAACAAAACAAAAACAATAAATAAATAAAAATAAAAAGATGAAATGTCGGTGAAGCTATAGAACAACTAGAATTTTACACATTGCTGGTAGAAGTGTGTAAAATAGAAATAGCATAATTACATTGGAACTCTCTGGTAATTTCTTATAAAGTTAAACACTCATCTACTATATGACCCAGTAACTCTACTCCTACGTATTTACCTACAGAAATGAAAAAATGGTTGGGAAAATTCTTGTACAATAATATGCATTGTAACCTTATGTTATGAATTGAGAACTGGTGGTCAACTTAACGCCAGCTGGATTACATCAGCATGGCATTGAGCGAAGATGCTCCACCTGAGGAAAGTTGCCAGGATAAATAGGTGGAGAAGAAGGGAGGTGTGAAGGGTTGAGGCCTTAAGGAGTTGCTATTTGAGCTGTTGGTTCTCCTGGAGAAGCTCTGGTCTTCACATCGAACATTGCTTCCTGGCTCCAGAGGGGAACACATGTGCTGCTAGGTCTCCAGGATGAACTCGTCACGCTGCTTCCTGGCATGTACCGGACTGTGCTTGTCGTCGGAGGAGCTCGGGGCCTCCGTGTCGCTGAGGACGGCTGTGGTGCCTTCAGGATAGTGCTGGTCTTTGTTGTGTGACTTCTCAGCTCCAGTGTAGAACCCTCATCCCACTAGCACAGCTCCTTCATCCTGCTGGCATAGACTTTCTGATTTCCACCGCTGACTCTTGGGTCTTCCCGGCACGGATCCGTAAAAGAGACTGGTGTGAGTCCTTCTTATGGACTCTGGACCTCCAGTTGGACTCGTGGGAGGCACTGTCCTGAGTTCTGGGTTTTTATCTGGACTCATGTGGGACATTGCTGTGGGGGTTAGGCTCTTGACTAAATAATCTATGTCTTTGGTGTTGTGGATAGATTTCCTGCATTCTCTTGTGTTAACTTCTGGTGACCATTATAAAAATATGTCTTTGGTGTTGTGGATAGATTTCCTGCATTCTCCTGTGTTAACTTCCGGTGACCATTATAAAAATATTACAAACTCCATGTAATCCTAGTTGTTCTCTGTGTACAACCCCTGACTACAACACCTTATATGTATTAGCCCAAACTTATCAACAACTCAAATTCAATAAAAAAAAGAAAAGATAATCAAAATTGACTTTTCATACTGAAGTACTACTTTAGCAACAAAAAGAGATCCACTTCTGATAAATTCAACATGGACAAATCTAAAAATATTATGTTGGGGGCTGGGGATTTAGCTCAGCAGCATAAGCACCTGCCTCGCAAGCAGGCAGTTGTGAGTTCGATCCCCGGTACCGATAAAAAGAAAAAAGGAAAAAAAAAAAAAGTGTAAAAAAAAAAAAAAATTATATTGAGGACCAGGGATATAGCTCTGTGGCATGGTACCTGCCTGGCACGCAAAAGGTTGTGAGTTTGATTCCCAATACCACAAAAAAAAAAAAAAAAAAAAAAAAAAGTATGTTGAGTAAATAAGAGACAAAAGTATACCTACAATCTGATCCTACTTGTATCAAATCTGAGAACAAACAAAACTAAAGTGTGTTCATGGAAATCAGTGTATTCATGGTAGACAGAGGAGTAAGAACTGATTAAAGGTGAAGAAGGAAAGGCTGGGGATGCATTTCAGTACTACCATAGACCAGCCCTGGGATCCATCCCTGGCAACAGCCATACACAAGTGAAGTACAGAAGGAAATTTTCCAAAAGATAAAAAGATTCTATGTTCTGACTGGATGTACATACTTGTCAAAGCTTACTTAAGAACTTTCATTTATTATATGTGAATTATACCTCAAGGAGAAAAGTAAAAAGAAAAAAGTGTTTGACAATGTAAGAATGCATTAATATCCTTTTCTACTCCAGGTTCAGAAATACAATGTGGCAGAAACTTGGGGGTGGTGGAAACACAGCTTTTCTCAAAAACTGGTTCCAGGGGCTGGGCATTTAGATCAGCGGCATAAGTGCCTGCCTTGCAAGTATGTGGTCGTGAATTCAATCCCTGATACCGATAAAAAAACCAGTGTTTTTTTTTTTTTTTTGTCTTTTTTTTCCAAAAATAGGTCAGCCACCTGCAAATGCCTAATTATGAAATATTCCATTTGATGGTCTGGTATCAGCTACTTCAATGGCTATATCAAATGAACAGAAACTGGACTTGGGCTTTTTTTTCAACAGTTGTGAACTAGAATAGAAAAAACATTAACTTGACAATTAGAAGACTTGATTTTTAATGCTAGCTCTACCACTTAACAGCTTTGTGATTTTTGGCACATTAATATGCTTCTGAAAGTTTCAAGTTCCTTTTCTTTATAGTGAGACAATGATTCTTTATTAACTGTTGTGAGGAAACACACATTCACATGAAAGAAAGCACTCTAAAATACATAATAATTGTAGCACATCCAGGAACCAAACAGGTAATTTAAGTGGTCTTTCTTTTATTGACTATTGAATATATAAACACATACCGTCCATTTCACCTCTGGTCGAGCAAGTGGAATAAATCTTCCATCAAACATATGAGAAAATGGCCCATGACCTTAAAAACAAAAGCAGCCTTAAAGCAAGAAAAACGTTTGCAAATTGGTAAAACTCAATTCTTTGTAAGAAATCTTTTGCTGAGCATGGTGGCACACACCTGCAATCCCAGCATTCAAGAGGATAAGGTAGGAGGATCATTTGGCCAGGATCAATCAACGCCAGCGCTTGGCTCTATAGTGATTTCAAGGGCAGCCTGTGAAACCCTGTCTCAAAAAGACCAGAAAGGGCCAGGGCTATAGCTCAGCAGCACAAGCACCTGCCTGACAAGTACCAGGTCCTTAGTTTGATTTCCAATACACCCTCCCCCAAACAATCATTTTACTTCAATTTGAGTATCAATAGAAACCAACAATTGATAAATCATAAAATGGGACAAACCTTATCTTCCTACTTTCTAAGGCAGAACAAGATGGAAGGACAGTTTTACTTTAACTAAAAGTAACGTTGAGAGTTTACTGTTGTTTTTTCACAGTAAAAATCAATGTCAAGGGCTGGGGATGTAGCACAGTAGCACAGTACTTGCCTATCATGAACAAGGCCTGGGTTCACACACCTATAATGCAAAAACAAAAACAAAAACAAACATACAAAAAAAACCCTCCTAAAATCCAAAAAATAAAATCTGTGCCAAGTGTAATAGCATTTGCCTATGATCCTAGCTACTCAAAACACTGTAGCAAGAGGATCACATGTTTTGGACCAATTTAACAAGACCCTTTCTCAAAATTAAAAAAAAAAAAAAAAGGCTGGGAATTTAGCTTAGTAGCCTAAGCACCTGCCTGGCAAGTGCAAGGTTGTGAGTTCAAGCCCCAGTACCAAAAATAAATAAATAAATAAGGGTGTAGCTTAGAGATTACTAGGTTCAACCCATGAACACAATGAAATAAAAATTATTTAGGGCTAGGCATGTAGCTCAAGTGGTAGAATAAGTACTGTAGATATACAAGGCCCTGGGGTTGATCCCTAACTTCAAAAATAAATAAATAAATGTCTCTAATCTTTGAAGCAGTGGTCTTACTGAAATCTCCAGGGGGACACAGAAAGAATACACTGTCTCCTTCAAGTACTTTGCTATTATTAAAACACAGGCAAACACAACCTCCCTGTGATTAAAGAACTTAAGGACAGTCCCTTTTCTCTTTCTTGGTCAAAGAGAAAGGAGGACAATCTGCTTAGATTTGAGTGGACTCTGACCTCATATGAGTTAAGGAAGAAAAGAAACTCACTAAATTTGTTCTAGGTATGAAAAGAATGGATTTGACAAAATAAAGGAACAATGGCAATTTTAGTCACTAGAAAGATAAAACTTATCATTTTAAACAAAAACTCATCATCAGAAAGTCCCCCCCCCACCCCAGAAGTGGGGATTAAACCTGAAGTCTTCATCCTGAGGTACATGCATACTTCTTTTTATTTTCAGAGAGAGCATCTTTGTATTTTCAGAGAGGGCATCCACAGACTTAAACATGAGAACCTCCTACTTTAGCCTCCCACAAAGCTAAGATTACAGGCATGACCCACCATGCACTCTAAGAAAGCCCTTTCATTTAACTGTAGCAGACTTTTTTTGGGGGGTCTTTTTCCTTTTTATCGGTAGCAGGGATCGAACTCACGACTGCCTGCTTGCAAGGCAGATGCTTATACCGCTGAGCTAAATCCCCAGCCCCCCGTAAAGACATTTAACATGGGAAATTCACTGAAAAACTACAAGAAAATAAAATAGTAATGTTTTGTGTTTATAAATCATTCTGGGAAGAAGCAATAGCACCTTTTACATTAATGTCAAATGAATTTAAAATACAACTTCTCTATTTCTCTTGATTATTTTGATTTTTAAATTTCAAAGGGCAGCTGTGTGTGGTAGCACACATCTGTAATCCCAGCTGAGGCAAAAGGATTACCAAAAACTTCAAGTCCAGCCTGGGCTACATAGTGAGTTCAAGACCAGCCACAATTACATAGCAAAACCCAGTGTCAAAAAAACCAAAGAGAGGCCACATGAGTTATGATTTCACACAACCAATTCAACTTTTCATACAGCTTACCAAGATCGTGACAAAGCCCAGCAATCTGAACACAGAGCATATCTCGCTCACTTATCTGCAGCTCTGGTTGCTTGTCACACAGTTCACGAACTAGACATCCAGCTAGATATCCGACCCTGGAAAGAAACAGAAACAGACACAAAGAGGGAGGGATGGAAGCGGAAAGGAAGGAGAAGAAAGAGAGGTCATTCTTCTATTTGAAATATTTCTGGAACTTAAGAATTTCAATATATTTTACAAACATTCTAGTATATGGTAGGGAAACTTTACAGGATAGTCTATTTTTAAAAAAACACATATAAACACCCCAAAGCAGGATCTCTGCCACAATTTCACTAATCATTATGGAAATGCAAATTAAACCCACAATGAGATATCTCCCTACACCCATTAGGTTGGCCACAATTATAAAAACACAAAAAACTCAATTACACAATAACAAGTATTGGACAGGATGTGAAGAAACTGGAACCCTTGTGCACTTTTTTTAGGAACATATGTGGTGTGGTTGCTGTGGAAAACAGTACAGAGATTCATAAAAAAAACTTTTTTTCTTTTTTCTTTTTAGAGACAGAGTCTTGCTATATAGTACAGGCTAGTCTTGAACTCACTATGTAACCCAGGCTGGCGTCAAATTCACAGTGATCTTCCTGCCTCAGACTCCCCTGTGCTGGGATTATAGGTATACATCACCATGGCCAGTCAAAATTTTTCTTAAATTAAAAAACAGAATTAGCCTCATGCCTGTAATCCCAGCACAGGGGAGGCTGAGGCAGGAGGATTGTTTCAAAACCAGCTGGGGCTACAAAGTGAGCTCAAGGCCAGCCTGAACTGCATGGCGAGAATCTGTCTCAAAAAGACAAAAAAAAAAAAAACAAAAAAAAAAAAAAACAGAATTAGCATATCTAGCAGTTTCATTTCTGGGCACATACTCAAAAGAACTGAGAGTGGCGTCTTGATTTGTATACATACATTTATAACAGCAATATCCACAATAACTGCGAAGTAAAAACAACCTGTGTCCATTAACAAATGAATGGGTAAATAAAATATGAAATAAACGTATTTGTACAAAGGAATATTATTCAGCTTTAAAAAGGACAGAAATTGGGGTGGTGTATGCCTGTAATCCTAGCACTCAGAAGGTAGGGGCTGGAGGATTGCCATGAGTTGAGGCCAGCCTTGGTTACATATTACTATTATAGACAGCTAAATTAATTTTAGACCAGGGGTTTAGCTCAGCTTCGTAAGTGCCTGCTTGGCAAACGTGAGGTTGTGAGTTCAATCCCCGGCACCAAAAAAAAACCATTAGTTTTAAATATTAAAAGAAATGTGACCAGGCTGGGCCTTCAGAACAGAATACAAAACTAGGCCAGGGTTCAAGAAAAAGAAGAAACCATCTACAATCACATACTTCCCCTAGAGAATAATAGCAGTGATTGATTGATATTTTAAATATACATCAATCACTTTGGATGGGGGACCAAACCTCTCCAGCCATGTTACAGAGAAGTCTAACTTGTTTTTTTTTTTTTTTTTTGTCTTTTTTGTTTTAATCGGTACCAGGGATCGAACTCACGACTGCCTGCTTGTAAGGCAGGCGCTTATGCCACTGAGCTAAATCCCCAGCCCCGAGAAGTCTAACTTGTAACCTTACTGGTTGACCATAGTTTTGTTCACCTTACACCCACCTTGTAACTTTCCATTGGATCTACGCTACCTAAGCGACTATACTTATAACCTTATTAGTTGACTACAGTTTTGTTCCACCTTGAAATCATCTCATTGCAAGACTTGGCTCAATAACACAACATCGAGAAGTAAGGTGGGTGGGCCACCCACCTTCTGGGCCCCTTTATCAGTTTTAGAAGTTTTCATTCTCTCAATATTATTATTATTTTTTTTTTTAAACCAGGGATTGAACTCGCAACCTTGCGCCTGCCAGGTAGGTACTTATGCCACTGAGCTAAATCCCCAGCCCTTCTTCCTACTCTTAATCTCCATTGTTGATAGAATTTATTCCTTGATTTTAAGAAGATGAACTCAGTGTTTCAACATTTAGCAGAATGGGAGTTTTATTAAGTTTTTTGACACAAGATCTCACTATGGAGTTCAGACTGGCCATGAACTAATATGCAGCCCGGTTGGCCTCAATTCATGGCAACCCTGTGTCAGCCTTCTGAGTACTGGGATTACAGACACGCCTCAACACGCTGAGCTAAGAAGTTTTTTTCTTACTACATTTGAGATATATATAATGGTAACATTCATCATGGGGAATTTCCACCCCTACAAGATATATCTTGCTTCTCCGTTTTTTTCCCATTCCCCTCCCCTCCCTTCAACCTCTCTCTTGCTCTTCTTATTAACAAAAGCTTTTTCCATTTCTTCTTTCTGTTTGTATATTTTCTTGTCCCTTTCTTCCACTTCCCCTCTACCTTGTTCCCCTTTGCATTTAAACATTTTCTTCCCATTTGGGAAGTTGTTGCTTAACTGACATATAGTTTCAGTTCTCAAGATAAACCAATTACACAACAGTGTAAATATACTTAACACTACTGAACTATATGTTCTGTTGTTTTACCACAATTACTGTATTTTCTTGAGCCAGGCTCTTGCTAAGTAGCTCAAACTTGCCATGAACTCACTATGTAGTCCAGAGCTGGCCTCAAACTCACAGTTGTCCTCCTGTGTTAGTCTCATGACTGATGTCTACAATTTTTGAAATAGTCAGAATGTCTATTACACCACAGAGTGAAGATAAAGTACTTAACAGAATAGGAGATGTGACTCAGTGGTAGGGAACCTAGCTTAGCATTTGTAAGATTCTGCATTTGGGTTTAATCTCCAGTACCATCAAAAAAGAAAAAATGCTTAACAAATGTTAAATGCATTTTCAGCACTTCTGTTTGAATATAATGTCTACAAAGAATACAACCTTTTGCCCGGCACACTCCTGTAATCACATCACTGTGGAGGCTAAGGCAGGATTATCATTACAAGTCTGTGACCAGGCTGCACTACAAAGTGAGCTCAAGGCCAGCCTAAACAGCATATCAAGACCCCTGTACCCCACCCCCCAAAAACAAACAAACAAAAACAAATACAACCTTTCTTTCCCCTACCTCCAAAGGGATTCAACTACCCTGAACTCTGAACACAGAAAGGTTTTTATCATGTTTATTGGTTTGGTGAGAAATAATAAACGTTGAATAAATATTTGTTAAAATTTGAATATAGATGCATGTGGCCTAATTAAAAATTTAAAACAACACGCATACAGAGAATAATGCACAGTGAGTGCATTATGAATATCTAGAAAACTATCAGGTTCTTTCCTGCCCATGCCTTTTTGGTTCTAAATTTTATAGCAGAAAATGAAACCAAAGTCTCATCTCACTGTCACTGTAACAGAGGTGTCACTTTTTCTAAGCTTATAAATGCTTCCCCAATGTACATACCATTAGCTTTTAAATAATTTCTAGACACAAATATTTTATCCAATTGACCTTCTAATAGATATTTTCATTACCTTTCCAGGAAAGATGTGAATGGTTTAAACCGTACATAAAATAAAAAACATATAGCATACCAGGTAAATCAAAGGCCTTAGTTTTCTCAACAGTAAAGTAAGGATATTACCCATTTGTAGAACTACTCTCTAAAGTATAACATGAGACAGTTTTTCACTTGACACTGAAGACACAATTATTAGGCTTTTGGTTTTTTTTTTTTTCAATTTGGCTTTGACTATTTCCACAGGATGGTCTCAAACTGGTGGGATGAAATGATTCTGCTACCCCAGTCTTCAGAGTAGCTGGGAATACATGTGCGAGCCATCATACCTGGCTCCAGAAGATATGAAAAAAAGCTCCCCTTCCCTTCTTACCCTAGACTATGCTCAAATCGATTGTGTGAAGCTCCTGGAAAAACATAGTAGCCGCCTCCCAACTGTTTAATATATCGAAGTCGCTGAAACTGAGGTGTGTCAATAATTCGAATTAGAAGAGGGTGCAGCTCAATATGGCCATGGATAGGGTCGTTAATTACCTGGAAAATTATGTTTAAATTAGCATCAGTAACAACATAGAATTCCATCTAAACTTTTTATGCAGCTATTCCTAACCACAGTACAAAATCAGGACTATTTAATTGTTCAAGTATGAATACTACTAAGGAAATTGACAAGATACTGGTATCATTAACTTGTATCATTATTAGATCAAGTATACTGGACCTAGGTATATTTTATTTTACTTTTCACTAATGGATTCTAACTACAGAAAGGTAAGAGTTTCAATCATATATACATACCATACATATATATGTTTAAATACACACACACACACACACACACACACAAGAGTCCCTAGTCTTTAAGAAGTAAGATTTGTGTCCCTTGTCCTGGCTCAGTGGTACATTGCTTGCCTAGTATGCTCAAGGCCCTGGGTTGGATCTCAAGGGTCACCAACAAACCAAAAATAAAACTGAACTTATTTAACATAAAGATCACATAAACCACTATTACAGGCACTATGCTTAAATTTTTTTGTAAATAAATCTATATACACCCGTAACTAAAATCCGTACAAAGAAAATTTGGTAAACAGAAAGATCAAAAAAGAAAAAAAAAAAACAAAACAAAATGAGAACCCTTGATTGTATAGATCAAAAAGAAAAATCACACACGGGAAGACAAAATTTATTTATTTATTTATTTATTTATTTATTTATTTATTTTTGTCTTTTTCATTTTCATTTTTATCGGTCCCGGGGATCGAACTCACGACTGCCTGCTTGCAAGGCAGGTGCTTTATGCCGCTGAGCTAAACCCTCAGCCCCTAAAATTTATAGTACTGCATAGTCACTCAGAAACATTTAGGAAAGATAAATTTCACAAGTATTCATTACTTAACCTTTTATTTTTTTTTGTCTTTTTCATTGCTGGGGATTTAGCTCAGCGGCATAAGCGCCTGCCTTGTAAGCAGGCAGTCGTGAGTTCAATCCCTGGTACCGATAAAAAGGAAAAAGACAAAAAAAAAAAAAAAAAAAAAAAGAACGAAATCTCCAGCCCCTCATTACTTAACCTTAAAAATATCTTGTTTAAAATTTGCTTATATTTTTGTGACACTGGGGAAGTGACCCTAGGGCCTCACGTATATGAAGACAAGGGCTTGAAATATGGGTGAAGATTTAATACGCAACTGTCTTAGCTGTCTAGAATAGCTACTTTGTTTACTCACACCTGTTTAGCATGTACTTTACCATTTAGCTATATTCCCTCCCAGCACAGTAATGTCATTTAAAGAGAAAGCTACACAATGAGAGGACTCTAATAAACTAACACGTGATGTTCAAAACTATTTAACTGTTTCATGAAATGAACCTCAAGTCTGGTGGAGGACCTGGGGGCAGAGCTAAAGGGCAGATCAAATGCTTAGTATGAGCAAGTCAGTTTTAAACCCTGACACCTAAAAAATAATTCATGAAATTCTGGGAGGTGAAGAACCTTCTTAATCTCAGAACTGATGACATATGATACCACCTGACACTTCCAGAAACTCAACTACTCAAACATATATATTTGTGCTTTTTTTTTTTTTTTGTCTTTTTCCTTTTTATTGGTACCGGGGATTGAACAAACGACTGCCTGCTTGCAAGGCAGGCACTTATGCCGCTGAGCTAAATCCTCAACCCCTTTTATTTATTTTTTTGTACCAGGAATCAAACTCAGGACCTCACTCTTGCCAGGCAGCACTGTACTACTGAACTATATTATCAAACCTCAAACACATTTTGAACAATCACTGTTGAGCTGTTACTAAAAAGTAATCAATGTCACCAAACTGGATTGAATGAACTACAAAGGCTCAGTATGGTAAAGAAGCTTAAAGGAGCCTGGGCATGGTGGCACACCTATAATCCTAAACTCTGGGAGGCTGAGTGAGGAGGAGCCCAGTCTGACCAACTTTGCAAGACCTTGTCTCAAAATTTAAAAAGTATGACAGATGTAACTTAGTATGAAAGCCCATCTGGTCCAACATATGAACATGTTGTTGATGAGAATTCATTTCCTATAAAAACAGCTCAGTTCAATTTGCACACTGATTTGACTTTAGTCAAATATTAGAACTTAAAACTCATTGAAGAATAGTAATATACATTAAGAATGATTAGAAATAAAGGTTGATACTTCATGAGTATTCATTTTTTTCACCCTGTTCTGTGAAACTACTACTTTATGAGTTTAGAAACTGTATCAGTTCTGGTCACCTGTACAAATACAGAGATAATGTCTAGGGGGGCTGGGGATTTAGCTCAGCAGCATAAGCGCCTGCCTTGCAAGCAGGCAGTCAAGAGTTCGATCCCTGGTACCAATAAAAAAAAAAAAAAGAAAAAGACAAAAAAAAAAAAAAAAAAAAAAAGTAACTGAGATAATGTCAAAGTATTTCAAGAGTAGAAGGAACCATGTATGTCATAATTAAATTCTATGAGTATATTACCAAATAAGAAAAAGTTCCATAACCTGTAAGCATTTGAGAATCATATACTGATCTATTCCTTCCCCTGAAAACAAGATCAGTGTAACCAGTATGTATGAACACATGAGAATCTCTTTTATGATTAAAGATATCAAAGAAATACCATATAATCTATCTTCATGAAGACCTTTACCATCAATTTTTCTGGGTGTAATGACTGTTCTTAAAATATTTTTCATCTTGGGCCTGGGATATAGCTTAGTACCTGCCTGGCAAGACTGACATCTTGAGTTTGATTCCCAGCACCAATACAAAAAAAAATTTACAGCAAGGTATTTTTCACCTTAAATATGTTACAAATGAGATAAACTTAAGGCATTTCATAAAAATTTAACGAATATACTTTTACCTGAAATACAGACATGCAGTCTCTTTCCTTTTTCTTACCAAAATGCAACAGTGAACATAGTCTCATGTTTTTATATCCTGAATAATCATTATTTTAATGGCTCCATTTCTTTGATAAGCCTTTTTTATTTTTCTTTTTAATTTTTTGAGATAGGGTCTCGCTATATAATCCAGATTAGCCTTGAAATCACTGCATAGCTGCGGCTGTCCTCGAGCTTATGGTGATCTTTCTGCCTCTAGCTCAGCCTCCTAAATGCTGGGATTACAGGTGTGCCACCACACCTAATTTGAAATAAATCATTTGTTGTTGCTTTGTTTTCTTTTTTCTTTTTTTTTTTGTTTTTTTTTATTTAAAGAGAAAAAAGAAAGGAAATAAAAAAAAACAAAGCAGTAAAAGGGTACAAGTAATACAGAATTTCAAGAAAAAAATATACAGTAAGAAATCACTAGTTAATAGGTTTCATATAGTCATCTTAGAAACATTTGTCCAAATTACAAAATTAAAGCATACAAAGTGGACATTCATACAGTGAGATTGCAGACAGCTCTGTTCAATAATACAACAAAAGCTCAGTAATATGGTTTTCTATCCTACACACTGAAATATACATGCAGTTATATCCTTTAGACCACTTTCTTTTGCTCTTTTTTACAATAACAATTACACTTTTTGGGTTTTATTACTCCCACAGTTCTTATTACTTTTTTTTGAAGAGAATAAAACCAAATGTGACTAAACAAAACAGAGTCAGTAAGAACACAAGAATGGGAATAGTACATGATGCAAAAATAGAATACCAGGTGATCAAAAATGGTTACCATTGTGCCTCTTGCTATTTTAAAAAGAGTTGCCTATATCACCAAGTTTCTTTTGTTGTTTGAGACAGGATCTGCTCTGCAGTTCAGACTGGCCTTAAACTCACTATGTAGACCAAACAGGCCTTAAACTTACAGTAATCCTCCTGCCTCTGCCTCCCAAGGGCTGGGATTACAGATATGTGCCACCATATCTGGCCTAATAAAGCATTTTTAAACCATTTCCCTAAAGGCAGGCATTGAATTGTTGGAAATACTGCTACATTATTTCATATTCTCTTCCCAACCCACAGCATATGAAGTATAGTATGATATTAAGGTGTTTTGATATTAAACTTTTTTTTTTTTTTGGCTTTTTTGAGACGGGATCTTGCTATTCAGTTGGGGCAGGACTTGAGCTGTTGTAGTCCACTCTGGTCTTGATCTCGAAACGATCCTCCCACCTCAGCCTCCCAAGTGCTGGGATTACAGCACCACGCCCAGCAACTCTTATTCTTAATATTATGTCATATAAGCTATTCTTTATACAGTTTCAGTTATTCAAAACAGATTTTGAAGTTTCAAAGTATACTAGTCAGTGAGTCGCTGTCTAAAAGTGAAATTGGTACCTTAAGTTACTTCATTGTCATCAGCTGAACAACTAAACCAAGGGAAAGGAAAATGTTATCCCTACACCTTCTTCTACGTTGAAACTAAGTTTTTTTTTTTTTTTTTTTTGTCTTTTTCCTTTTTATCAGTACTGGGGATCGAACTCATGACTGCCTGCTTGCAAGGCAGGCGCTTATGCCGCTGAGCTAAATCCCCAGCCCCAAGTTTTGTTTTTCTGATCCAGGGATGTCAAAAAGGTGAGTAGTAAGATATATCTGCTGTCACCAATCAACCAAGAAACAATTTCTCTAACATGGTAAGTGACAGAGTTTGTAAAAAAATGCACATTTCAGAATTTCTATTTAACTGTCCAGAATCAGAATTTCTAGGATGGGGTTTGGATAGTTAAATGTTTCTTAAAATGGTCCTGGGGACACTGAAGTCTGAAAAACAGGGCTTTTTTCAGGGGTGGGAGTACTGGTATTCAAACCCAGGGCTTTACACATTAGGCAAGTGTTCTAGTGCTGAGCTGCGTGTAGTCCCAGCCCTTGTTATTTTATTGTTCTAATTTTGAGACAGGGTCTTGTGAAGTTGCTCTGGCTGGCCTCAAAGTTGCAATCCACCTGCTTTAGCTTTCATAGTAGCTGGGCTTCTATAGGTATATGCAAAGTTGACTCCTCCATAGTTGGGGGCAAAACAGAGCTTTTCATGTCTGAAAGGACTGAGGGAGAAAGAAGAAACATTGATAGATTGTTGGTACTAAAACTGTTTATCGATATGCATATGTAGTAAAATTCTGGCCTGACATACTGGTGCATGCCTACATTGTAATCCCAGCCCTCAAGAGGCTGAGCCAGTAGGATTGCTGTGGGTTCAAGGTCAGCTTGAACTTCACAGTGAGACCCTGTCTCCAAAAAATGAAAAAGGTCATTGTGAGATTCTGCCAGGCTATACCTTGGCCAGGCCTAGAAAGTACAGAAGGTGATGGTGCAGTCCATCAATCTCATCTTTCAATACTTGCAGACTAGGTCCCAGATTTCAAATGTGGCTCTATGAGAAAGTGAATATGCAGATACAGGACTGTATTACTGGTTTTGATGAGTATATGAACCTTGTATTAGATGGTGCAGAAGAATTCATTCTAAACAAAGTCAAGGAAACAACTAAAGAGATTACATTACTCTGCTACAAAATATCGCCAAGTAGAAATGATCAGTGGGGGCTGGGGATTTAGCTCAGCGGCATGAGCGCCTGCCTTGCAAACAAACGTGTGGTCATGCGTTCAATCCCTGGTACCGATAAAATAAGGAAAAAAAAAAAGAAATGATCAGTGAATTAAGATAGCAATGAAGTGAAGTGGTGGCAAGGGCAATTAAGATAATATGTCAAAAATGCAGCTGTTTAAGTGGTTTGCCCTGGGAATACTTGTAAAATACTTATGCATATTCGAGTTATTTTTTTCCCCCCTTTTGAGACTGGGCTTTGCTATGCAGTTCAGGCTGGCCTTGAATTCACTTTGTGGCCCAGGCAATCTCAGACTAACAATGATCCTCCTGCCTTAGCTTCCTAAGTGCTGGGATTACAAATGTGCTACCACATCCAGTAATATTGTCTTTTATTTTATTTATTTCATGTTTTAAAATATTGTTTTGATTATCTTTGTTATTACTGGACTGCAATAAATGTTATAAGCATGTTTTATTAAAAATTGCATTATTTCTTTCTATAACATATATATGTAGAACCAAGAAGGAAGCTATTCCCTACCATGTGAGCCAGCCGATGCATGGACCTGAGAGGAAGGAAACGGACACCCCTGCCTGTGAGTCAGCCAGTGTGTAAATCAGGGAGAACCAGGAAAGAAGCTATGCATCCCCCAACCCCTAGAAGCTCCTGGCTTGGAGGAACTATATTGTTTGACTGACTTTGTAAGCTTAAAGCTGGTAGTTGGAGCGACTATTCAGAGAATAATAATATGGAATATAGTAACTACTGTAGATTTCCTATTGTCTTATCACTGTTTGGTTTCACTTTATTGTTCTGTTTTACTCCTTTAAAAAATATATGTATATAGTAAAATTTCAAAAAAATTAATGAAAATGTTAAACACCAAATTCAAGGTAATATTATTGGGGAGAAAGAAATACAAGACAGGTATAAAAGAGCATAGTGAGACCCTGTCTCAAAAAGACAAAAAAAAAAAAAAAAAAAGGATGTGAAGCAATTTAGGCAAAATGTTAAGGTTTTTTTGGTGGTACTGGAGATTGAATTTGTAACCCCAGGCTTGCCAACCAGGCGCTTAGGCTACTGAGCTAAATTCCCAGCCCCAAAATGTTACATTTTGACAAGGTGAGTAGTAAACTTATACTCTTTAGTATGTCAACATACTTTAGTTTTTCTTCTGACTTAAATATGCTTATACATTTTAGAAAATACAGAAAGTCTAGAAAAGAACCATAATCCCATCAGTGAGATTTCCTTCCATTGTGTTTAAAAAGAAGTTTACAAGAGTGAGTCATTTCGTTTTATTAAAAAAAAAAAACAAAAAACTGGGGCTGGGGATTTAGCTCAGTGGCATAAGCGCCTGCCTTACAAATGTGTGGTCGTTGAGTTCGAGCCCCGGTATTGATAAAAAAGAAAAAGACAAAAATAAAAAAAAAATAATAATAGGGGCTAGGGATTTAGCTCAGCGGCATAAGTGCCTGCCTTGCAAGCAGGCAGTTGAGTTCGATCCCTGATACCGATAAAAATGAAAAACCCAAAAAAGAAACTGAAAAAAAAAAATAATAATAATAAACAAATAAATAAATAAAGCTATGATAAAATCAGGACCTCTTACCTTCATTGGCTCAGCCTGAGTTTGACTCAATTGTCGGATATAATTAAGCAGCTTCTTCCTGTCCTCCAAGGAACTAAAATTACAAGATAAGCAAATTTATCATTATTTGCTTAATAACAGTCTCAATAGTATAAAGTAGAAGGTTATTAAAACTTGATTCTCTACACTAATCAAAAGGTTATATTAGAAAGAGCAATAAGTAACTCAAACATACTATATTCCTCCTAGAAACTCCTTCCTCTTTAGTTCCTAAGGGAAGCTCCTGTCCAACCCATGTGAACCTGCCCCAGGATTTTGTCCTTGATTTTCTTCCTTCTTGGAAAATTCAGATTTTATATCTATTCTGCCTCAACTAATGTCAGTTTATATTCAAATGTATTTCAACAACTTCAGAGTCATAAATGTACTTTAACCACTTCAGCGTAATAAGCTGAAGTCAACATTTACCCTTACAATTCTGGCCTGATTTATGAGAACCAGGTACAACTCAAGTATGAATCAAATATATATGGAGGTTTTAGCTTTATTTATACCCATCTTTCTTTGTTTGTAATCCCTCATAATTCTCCAGTTTTGAGAAAGCATTTAATAGGAATTAAACTTGAATAGCACTAATTTAGAATACTGCTTTATTTACAATTATTCCTCGGTCCAGGCATATTAGCCTCATGCCTGGTAGTGTCAACAAAAACAGCAGGCAAGCATTGTCAGTTATTACTGATCTACTGGCTAATCAGACTGAAAAATATTTTTTCAAAAGTTCTAGAAAGAAATACCACATTTGGCTTCTATGTTATATAACCTGAAATCTATGGCAATAACAAAATCTAAGAGTTAAATATATAGGGGCATTATTATAGCTAATAAATAATTAAAGTTGCATATTTCTGGTTTGCTTTAAGAATACTTCTTAGCTTAGGTTATAACTGAGCTGGGTTAAGGGCAGTCAAACACTAGAGGTTATCTACAAGTCACAGTATAGCATACCAAACGTAAACTAACCAACCTCACTATTTCCCTGAACTGACACTTGGTAATCATCATTGAATTAAAACCCGAAAGAGATTGTATCCAAGGATATCACTGATTAAAATATTGAAATAACCACCAAAAACCTACCTACCTTCCTTTCTTCTCTCTCTCTCTCTCTCTCTCTCTCTCTCTCTCTCTCTCTCTCTCCTCTTTTTCCTTTCTTTCGGCAGTACTGGGGATTAAATTCAGAGTCTTCACAATGAGCTACATTCACAGCCTATTTTTTTATTTTGGGCCAGAATCTTGCTAAATTGCTCACAATTTAGACTTGAATTTTTTATCTTTTCACCTTGCCCTCTCAGAATACTGGGACTACAGGCATGCACCAGAATGGACAGATTGTTTTTATATTTTTAGCAAAGAATATGACATTAAATAAAAATTCAAGCAGTCATGAGCTAGGATACTTTAGTAAGATTTCTGTATTTCTGAAATTTACAGCTTCTTACAACTTGATGGATATATCTAATGTAACAATGTTTATTTTCCAGAAAAGCATCCATAAATCAATAGATAATCATAAAATTAAGGGACCACAAGAAATGCTTATCTAAATTGGATTCCCTGTAAGATGCAAAGTCCAGGACAAGAGTTTGCATATAGGTAAATTTGTTATGAGGCAGAAAGATCCCCTAGGCACAGAAGTAAGGAGAGCTAAGAAAGTTAAAACAAGAAATGAGAAAAAAAAATAGTACAAGAATACATTAGTACACATATTTTTATTACTGTGAGCAACTAAAGCTGATTTTACTAGCACCCTTGCAACTATCACAATCTAATGGAACTTTCTGTGATGATAGGAAACTTCTATAACTGTCTGTCTAACACAGTAGCCACTAGTAATGTGGCTATTGAGCAACTGAAATACAGTTAGTATAATGGAGAAACTGAATTTTAATTTAATCATTTGATTTAATTTTAATTAAAGTAAACATGTAGCTACCAGCTACCATACAGGACAAAAGAGCGCTGTGCATCTCAGAGTCATAAGGCAGGGTACAAGAGGTAAGCTAGACAATGCTCACTCTGGAATTATGTCTATTTTGTACACTGATGGGCCCCAAGATCCTGGAGGACCCAAGAAACTGAAAGAGTGCCTAGGACAGAATGAGCCCTCCATATATTTACTGCATGAATCAACAGTGTTTGAGTCCACAAAGAAGTAAAGTTTTCTTGAAAAGAAAGACTTAGAAAAAAAATTTTTTTAGTTCAAACTATATACACGAAATAGGTAGTAAAGAGGACTTTGAAAAGACTGAGGGGCCTGAGATGTGGTTATGAGAGAGCCAAAATGAGAAAGATTCTTACCCAAAAGACACTACAAGTCAGTTAAATGTTCTGCACTAATCTTTTTTTCAAAATCTACTTACATTATCAAATTCTAAGCAATAACATATGAAGTAATTTGATACAATCTCTTGTTTTGATTTGTTAGTTACAGTTACCACAAACAACATTTAACTAAGTGAAATTTTAGATCATTATTTTATTACTGTTGCCAATTTCCCAATAGAAACAAAACCTCCATTTTAAGGAACATATAAACATTGGGTCTTCAACAGAGAACTTTAAATTAATACATTCAACCTAGACTCTAGAACCTTTCCATATGTAGATATCTACATTATGTATATAATTTATTAAGGGATAATCATATGCTTCAACATTTTACATATATGAATATATTCCAGTCTTTTAGACAATTCCAGACAATTTTAGAGGGCTGGAGATTTAGCTCAGTGGCTCAAGCTCTTGCCTGGTAAGCGTGAGGTCATTAGTTTGATTGCCAGTACCAAAAAACAAACAAAACAACAAAAAAAGATAACTTTAGAAAGACAGAAATATGTTCATAATTGAGTTGCAGCTCTAATTTTCTTGCTAATATCTTCCTTCCTATTGGTTTTTATATATTTTCTAGCATGTATAATTCAGTTATTTTGAATTTAACGGTAAAAGGTTGATCATTACAAAGTGTGAAAGCTTGCCAGCAAAATTCCCTAAAATAGGTATCATCAGTAATATTAAACATAGGATTTGTACAGTACAAACAAACAGGATGCTGGGAATTCTGTTTTGAAACATTCTATAAATTTAAAATACTGACAGTATTGGAGAATTTTGGCTTTCTCCCTCAAAGGTATATAGAATGCGGTTTCGTTACAGTTTGAATTTTATCATTCTTACCTTACTCCAAGGTTTTCAAGAAGAGACTCATCCAAAAAAGGCAGTAATGAACCTGTGATTTTATTTTCTACAGAAGAGTAAAAAAAATCAAAATTAAATATTCACAGTTTTATTTTTTGTTTTTGTTTTTTGGTATCGGGGATTAAACTCACGACTTCATGCTTACCAGGTAAGTGCTTGAGCTGTTGAGCTAAATCCCCTACCCAAAATGAAATAGTGACATAAGATTTTTAATTTCTTTCACTTTGAATCTACCAGAATTAATTCAGATCAATATTTATTGAGGATTTATTACAGGAAATGGACCATGCTAGGTACAGATGGTCCTCTGTATACATAAACTGCATATCTATGTGTGGATAGAAAATGCCTAGAAAAGAAAACTGCATCTGTAAACATGTACACATATATTTTTCTCTTCATTGTTCCCTTAATATAGTACAACAAATAGGTATATAACATTTACATTGCATTAGGTATTATAAAAATTATAAATAAGTTAGAGGGGCTGGGGATTTAGCTCAGCGGCATAAGCGCCTGCCTTGCAAGCAGGCAGTCGGGGGTTCGATCCCTGGTACCGATAAAAAGGAAAAAGAAAAAAAAAATATATATATATATAAATAAGTTAGAGATGACTGGAAGTATATGGATTTGGATAGAATATGCATATTAAGCACAAATACTAACCCCCACTTTATATATGAGACTTGAGAACAGGATATGGTGGCACATAATTCTAGTATTCTGGGGGGCTAAGGCAGGAGGATCACAAGTTTGAGCACAGGTTGGGCAATTTAGCAACTAAGTGAGATTCTGTCTCAAAAATATATAAAGGACTGAGGATGTAGTTCAGTGCAAAGACCCTGGGCTCAATCTCCAATATGGGGTGGGAAGTAAGCATCTTCAGATTTTGGTTATTTGCTGGGGTCCTGGAATCAATTCTCTTTCCCACTGAGGCAAAAGTGTACAATATTTTTTACTTGCTACTTGTAAAATTTTAATTAGATAACTAAACCAAAAAGTATTTTCTGATAAGTCATGTGAAACTTTATACACTATTTATAAAAATTATTTGCAAGAAAAGCCAGTAGCAAAAATGTAAAAAATGAACCTGCTTAGTTGTACGATCTTGTCAGAGCAGTGGCTTCCTGTTTTTTGTAAACAGGGCTTAGGGTGAGGGTAAAGAAGAAAATATATCTTTGATATTTTTCAGTCATGAAAGTTATGACTTTCATGTATAAAGGCCCAAATGATATTAAAAAAGCATAAAATGTCAACTTACTTAATATTTTCCCAGTTGGTAACTACTATTAATATTCTGGATAATCCATTTATCTACACAATTATGCAGTTTTACATAAATGAGACTATCTTATAGCCTACTTTTTCCCACCCAGTGTCACAAACATCTTCCTTATCAATTATTAAACTCTAGATACTTTTTAATACCTATTCTGTATTCTATAATACAGATGCAACATAATACACTTAATCATTTTTTTTCTGGGTCTAACGTTCCTTTCCTCTAAAATTGATATACTTGGCCCCATGTCACAGAATTGTTGTAAAAATTTTATAAGATAAAACGTGTCAGGAGTTAGGATGTAGCTCAGTGGAAGAATGTGTGTTTAACATACACAGGGCCTAGAGTTTGATTCCTGGTGCCACAAAATAAACAAACAAATAAGTAAGTGACTTAGAGATCCTGTCTCAAAATAAAAAATGTGCTAGGATGTAGTTCAGTGTGAAGGTCCTGGGTTTTAAAAAAATGTAGATTGCATAGAACAGTACTTCACTCAACGTAAACATTGAATAAATCTTAGCCATTAATATTATTTACTGCTGTTATAACAGATGGATACCTAGGTTATTTTTACCACTTATAAACAATGCTTGGACACTGGCTTAGTAGGTAATTTCTATAGGTGAAATATTATTAAGTCAAAAGATATTACCAAACTGTACATGATTGAGACAACTGATATTTTGTCAACGTCAGTGAATTACACATTTTATTTATTATCAGTCTTTTACATGTTTTCCAACCTAGACAAAAAATTAGTATTTTCAAAATTACTAGTAATCATTTCTCAGTCCTTTTTTTTTTTTCCTTTGGTACCAGAGATCAAACTCACAACCTTGTGCTTGCCAGGCAGATGCTTGTGAGCTAAATCTTCGGCCCTCATTTTCCAGTCTTTTGGCTAAGATTAAGAGCAAAAATTACCATTGAGCCAGAATAGCCTTTCCTGTGTTCATTATGGGGGTTTCCATGGTCTGTTTTTCTGTTCTGTTTTTTTTTGGGGGGGGGCATTTTTCTTGTTTTTAGATGTTTTCTAACTTTAATTGTGTTCACTGATTTTTGATGAGAACATTTGCTAAGCAAAAGCAGAGTCTAAAATCTTTAACTTTCAAAAAATCCACTGTACTTGTGGGGAGGCGTAGTGGTACATACCTATAATCCCAGCCTCACAGGAGGCTGCGATAGGAGAACTGTAAATTCAAGGCCATCCTGGACAACTCAATGAGACTCTGTCTCAAAAGTAAAATAAAAAGAGCTAGGGAAATAACTCAGCCATGGAGAACTGGCTATAATGCTTGAAGCCCTAGTTTCAATCTCTAGTACTAGGGGGAAAAAAAATCTAGCTCTTTTGCTGTAATGTAACCTTTGGAAAGAAATTTAACATCTTTGGACCTCATAAACTTCTTTCATAAAAGGTATATCATCTGATTTTAGGATCCTTGAGAGACTATATCCCATCATGAGAAAAGGAACTCAGTAACTTATGATTCTTATGTGTGTTTGAATTTTAAAACATTTTAAAAAATTCTTTGTGGTACTAGATATTGAACCTAGAAACATTTTACCACTGAGCTACATTCCAGTCCTTTATAAAGTTTTTTCTTTGAGATAGGTCTTGCTAAATTGCTCAAAATGGCCTCTAACTTGCTATATTTCCTGCCTCTGTTACCCAAGTAGCTACAATTACTGGCATATATTGCTTCATCTATCTCTTGCGCTTGGTTTTGTCAAAAACAATCTAGACTTAGTGACAAAAAGTACCTATTAAAAATAAAAACTACTGGGGCTGGGGATTTAGCTCAGTGGCATAAGCGCCTGCCTTGCAAGCAGGCAGTCGTGAGTTCGATCCCTGATACCGGTAAAAACGAAAAAGACAAAATAAATAAATAAATTAATTAATTAAAAAACTACTGCCCGGTATGCTGGTAAAATCCCAGCACTCAGAAGGCTGAGGCAGGAGGATGGTCTTGAGTTTGAGGCCAGCCAGGGCTACATAGTGAGTTCAAGGCCAGCCTGAACTACATGGTAAGACCCTGCCTCAGAAAAATAAAACAAAACAATTATAAGAAGCGCCAATCTCAGAAATCTAGTTGCTCAAAATCAAACAGAACAACAACAAAAAAAATCAAACGGAACAGTTTGTCTTTTATAGGATAAAGAAGATCAAGGAGAGAAGCAAAATCTTTGGAGAAGCTGGACAAACAAGAAGAAACTGACCAATGGGTATGACCAGTATGATAGGACAGTGTTTCGCTGTGGTCACTGTGGTCACTGTGGTCAGCGAGTTCCTAGGAGGTGACAGGAAGTGGGGGGAATTTCACATTTTTAGTGCTTGCTTTGGTTTCTGGGTAAACAAGATGAGAATTCTGTAAAGAAAGAAACCTGAGTAACATTTGGTGAAGATAAAGCAGACATCAGTATTAGGTGGTGCAAGCCTGTAATTTTAGCAGTTAAGCTGAGACAGGAAGATCTCAAGCTCAAATACTATCTGAGCAACTTATCAAGACCCTGTCTCAAATAAAAAAAATTAAAAATGATGATGGAGATTTAGCTCAGTTGGTAGAGTGGAATGCCCCTTGGTTCAATATCCTGTTTTGTTTTTTTTTTAAAGACAAAGTAGTAAGATATGAGCAAGTTAGAACACTTGATCAGTTTTTACCAACTAAAAGTACTCAGTGTCTTATATTAGCTCTAGACTGTGGGTACAAAATATCAGTCTGGAAGGTGGAGTGTGGGGGTACAGGCTTATAATCCCAGCACTTGGGAGGCTGAGGCAGGATTGCTTCAAGTTCAAGGTTAGCCTGGGCTGTAAAGTGGATTCAAGGCCAGACTGAACTGCACAGTGATACCCTGTCTCAAAAAGACGAAAAAAAAAATCAGTCTGGAGACTGATGAATTAATCTACAAAACACTGAAATACAAGAGCAAGAACACAGTCAATTACATTTTGAAAAGAGAAAATAAAAACAACTTTAGCACCTATTACTAGTCAAAAGAAAAGCCCATCTTTTTTTTTTTTTTTTTTTTTTTTTTTTTTGTCTTTTTCGTTTTTGTCGGTACTGGGGATTGAACTCACGACTGCCTGCTTGCAAGGCAGGCACTTATGCCGCTGAGCTAAATCCCCAGCCCCAAAAGCCCATCTTTGCAGTGGAGTAAACACCAGGAGGAAAGGGGAAAAGGTAAACAGAATTTCCTATATTTAAGTTATCTTTGAGTCCTGAACCATTATGGCTTCTCTCACTGCAGGCTTCACAGGCAAACAGCCTCTGCTCCACAATTAGAATTGTACTAAATTTGCAGAGCACAGCTACCTTCCTACTAAACACCTCAAGAGATGGAGCAGGACCTTCACACCCACCATGAAAAGTTAAAATAGGTTTCAAGTGGGAGAATGGATTCTTGGACATGAACTAGTAAAGCTGCTTAAAACTCTGAAACTATATACTTCCCAAATGTGGTTGAACTGTGAAATGCTGGGAATTCAGTAGTGAACAGAATAACCCCAATCCAGTATTCAGATGTAGAAAGAGAAACTTCTTACAAAGAGTAAAACATAATCATTATCAAGCTTTGCACATGTAGTCAATATATACTGAACCCTTCTGGGGTTGCTATAGTAATCTGTGGGAATTCAAAGATTAATAAAGTAAGTTCCCTCCACTTTAGGAAAACCCCAAAATTCGGGGTGGGGATGGGTAATCAGAAATGTAAAGGCACCAAAACGTCTCATGTGGCGAGTGTTCAAGGAGCTGCGGTTAGCACAGAAGGTCTCCTGAGTCTGGTGAGCCTGAATGACACCAATCTCCAACCAAGGTCTGGGGAAAAGTTTTCTAAATTTAAAAGGGGCGGGGGAGAGATCCCTCTGGATTGCAAATTCGAGGCCAGTTTCGGGCAATTCAACGAGACCCTATCTCAGTATAAAAGGGGTGGGGATGTAGCTCAGTGTAGAGCATTTGCCTGGCGCGCGTGAGGACCTGGACTTTATTTCCCAGCACGGGGTGGGAGGGGTGGTCGGGAAGCGGAAAGGACCCGAGTCTCGCCTGTCTGGCGCTCGGATAGCAAGCTCCTAAAGAAACCCATCAGAATAGAAGTCAAATTTATACTTGTCCCAACCTCCAAAACCTGTTCCTTCAGACGGACCTCCACTCCACATCTCGGTCCTCCGCCTCCGGGTCTCACTCCCGGGCGTCCCTGCCGCAAGTCCACCCCTTCAGGCGCCTCCCGCGCCACTCCCTTCCCGCTCTACGTCCCCTCAAGAGGCCCCTCTCTCAGGGCGCCCCTCCTCAGGCCCAGCTGGCCCCTCCCCGGGTCTCCAACCCTCGCCCCTCAGCCCTCCAGCCGTGCTACCTCGGAAGTTTTTCAGGAGTCCTGATTTTTCGAAGCCACAGCTCTGCAAGTAGGAGCACACCTGCTCCGGGTCCCAGGTCCGGTGGTCGGGGTGGAGTTCCAGCAGCGGGTATTTGTCCGTCCTTGCGGGAGTGTTTGGTGGCGTTCTTGGGCTGCCGTCGCATCGGGGCCGCTTAGCGGGCTGCTCCGAGTCGGATCGCTGCATGGCTACCTCTACTCAGCAGCCGGCGCCTCAGTCAGAACCTAGGCGCCAGCCCCGCACGCAGGCGCACTGACAACTGAAGCCGCCTGCAGGCGAGATCGGCTTTGCCCGCCCGAGGGCCTCCCGCGCAGGCGCACTGACAGGACAGCGTGGGTGCTTGGGTGCTTGGCTGCTCCGCGACTCCAGCTTGAGGTGCACCGCACAGGCGCAATAGCAATCTAGGCCTTCTCAATCCCTCCCATGTGAGGATTTAATTGAAAGGGCACTGCCAGAAGTAGTACTAGGGATGGTGCCAGGGCAGTCTCGAGTAAGGACAGGGCAAGACAAGAGCACGCTTGGGACCATTGAAAATCCTGCTATACTCCAGATGAGGGATTCTTTAGCACTTCCAAATGAGTACCCTAGATTTGCCCTTGGACAGTGTCAAACACTCTTTAAGTATCTGAAATATCCGTGTGTTGACCTTTAATGTTGGTCTGCAGTTTCAACCATTTATGCAAGATTCTGCATATGTATTAAATCATAATATTTATTAAATTGACATTTACAGGGCCCAGGATTTAGCTCATTGGCATAGGTGACTGCCTGGCAAGCGTGAGGTCATGAGTTGATCCCCAGTACCAAAAATAAATAAATAAATAAATAAATTTTAAAAATTGACATTTACATTCTATGTCATGACAGTACATGACAAAGAGAAGAAATATCTGAATTTTTCAGTTAAGCTTGACAGATTAAGAGCCATTTTAAAATTGGGGACAATTTTTACTATGTAAATGAATACTTTATTTATTTTTTTTAAATCCTAAACTTAAACCTAAAAGACAAAGAGCTGCCAGCAGCTTCTCAAAGAAGAGAAAAACAGCCAAGAGATTGAAAGGGAAGAGCAAGGTTTTCAGAACCGACAAGTGGGTTCTCCTCTCTCAATTCCAGAAGGAAGAAAGGGCCAATCTGATTAAAAAACAAACAAACAGGGACTGGGGATTTAGCTCGGCTGCATAAGCACCTGCCTTGCAAGCAGGCAGTCCTGAGTTCAATCCCTGATACCCATAAAAAGGAAAAAGACAAAAAACAAACAAACAAACATCCTTTCACTATGCAGTTCAGTCTGGCCTTGAACTCACTTTATAGCCCAGGTTAGCCTTGAACTTGCAGCAATTCTTCTGCCTCAGTCTCCCAAATTCTGGGATTACAGGCATGGGCCACCATGTTTGCCTAATTTCTCAAAATTCACCCTTTAGGACTCTTGCAAATTGACACTAACTGTAAGAAAATAATAGGCATTTCTCCTCTCTGTAGCTATTTTTGGGGGCAGTGCCAAAATTTCCTTATATGGGGGCTGGGGATTTAGCTCAGCGGCATAAGCACCTGCCTTGCAAGCAGGTGGTCGTGAGTTCGATCCCTGGTACTGATAAAAATGACAAAGACAAAAAAAAAAAAATTTCCTTATATGTTCTGGCCCATGCTTTACTTGTAAAGGATTACTGCTACTACAAGTAATAAGGACATTATTCCTCCCCAGCAACCAAGGCAGAATGAGATAGGCTAGTATATCACCCAGTAATCTGCATTGGTCCAGTGGTAAACCAAATGGCCATAGGTTCAAGACCCAAAATAAAAAATTAGTGAGCAAAAGATACTTAGCAAGTCGGCCTACTATGTTTCAAATATGGTTTTGTTGTTGTTGTTGTTATTGTTTGGTACTGGGAATTAAACTCAGGACCTTGTGCTTGCCAGGCAGGTGCTGTGTCACTGAGCTATATCCTCGGTCCAGAAATAGGTTTAAAAACTTTACAAATACTAACCCATTTAATTACCACTAGAATGTAGGAAAGTAAGGTACAAAGACAGGAATGTAGCTGACTGATAAGAGTGTGTGCTTAGGGGCTGGGGATTTAGCTCAGCGGCATAAGCGCCTGCCTTGCAAGCAGGCCGTCATGAGTTCAATCCCCGGTACCGATTTAAAAAAAAAAAAAAAAAGAGTGTGTGCTTAGTATTCCAGAGACCTTGGGCTAGAAAGAGAGAGAGGGAGAAAGGAGAGAAGGAAGGAGGCAAAAGGTGGTTGCAAAAGATGATTGGAGTATTAGTCAGGGTTTTGCCGGAGAAACAGCTATAAGATATACAAATGTATAAGAAATTTCTTATGATGGTCACCCAGAATCAGATGAAGGTGTCTACACACTGGAGGCTGAAGGATTCCTAGGTCTAGAATTCACTGTAATGTCTTGTGCAAGTACATATCAGGAGGCTGAGGAGTCTGTGATAGAAGGCTGAAGGATCCGAGGCAGAAGCTGATGAGCCTGTGCTGGAAGCCAGGAGATGAATGACATCCAAGCTGAAAGTGAAAACCAGAGCTTCTGCAAAGAATGGAACCTGTCCTTCCTGCTTCCCTTATATACCATCCAAGTGATGAGCCACCCTAGGGTGGGTCTTCTACATCCTAGGGTGTAGAATTGCTGAGCTGATTTAGTTAAGCTTCTAAACTTCTCCAATTGATACAATCATCAACCCCAACAGTTGGTTACTTGATCCTGGTCTCATTGCTGCTAAGCAGCAGCCAGAATTCAAAGGCAGTACTATATGGCTCCAAAGTTTAGGCTCTTTTCAATTTGCCATTTCATATAACTTCAGTTAGTCTGGTGATTCTGTTCCATTCAGTCATACTATATGCTGGGAATCAGCACAAGGGCTTGGACCTTGGCTACAATGAAAGACTGGTCAAGTTTTCTTCTTGCCATGGTGAGGATTAGAAAAGCCAGTAAATCAATAGTCCTTCCTCCTTCCCTTTTATACCCTCTGATGTTGAATACCCCCAGAAATTCTTCCCTGACCTCCAGGTAACAAGTCAATAAATTGTGCAATTTTATTCTGGCAGCATTAGCTCTCTGGTTTTTACATCTCTCCACAACTTCCTCTTCAACCAGTAATGCTGGTTCTCTCCACCACTCACTCATTCTCTGGTTGTTTTACTTCTTTTTTTTTTTTTTTTTTTTTTTTGGTCTTTTTCCTTTTTATTGGTACCAGGGATCGAACTCACGACTGCCTGCTTGCAAGGCAGGTGCTTATGCCACTGAGCTAAATCCCCAGCCCCGGTTGTTTTACTTCTTCTTTGCGATAGTTAATCTTGCTGTCACCTTGAAGAAGAAACTCCCAAATGATTCATTTAGCATATTCCTGATTATGTTTGAATGATGGACTCACTGAAGAGGGACAACCTACCCTTGGTGTGGGTAGCACCAACCAATAGGCTTATGCATTAGTTACTTTTTCATTGTTGGGACGAAATACGTGACACCCAAAAGTTAAAGTGGAAAGGTTTATTTTGATTCACCCTTTGTAGAGGTTTCAACTTATAGATGGCTGGCTCTAAGGCAAGGCAGATTGGCACAGGGGCATGGCAAAGGATTAGGTCATGGCATGGAAGACAGGAAGCAGCAAAGGATCAAGGAAGAAGGAGAGATTCTTTATCCTTCTAGGCCACAGTGACTTACCTCTTCCTACCAGGCTTCCCCTCCCAACATCACAGCCAGCAATGAACCCATCAGTGAACTGACTAATCCAGTGAGAAGTGTCACATACCTATGATCCAGTCACCTCCCAAAAGCCTCACTTATGAGCACATGGGGCTTTGGGGGAGACACCTAAGTACAAACTATAATGGCTTATAGTCTAGTTGAAATAATAAAAAGGAAAAGAAAAGGGAAGACTCACTTCTGTTTCTTTAGACAAGCTCTGATCTTTGACATTGCCTTTGAATGTCAGTATCCAGGCTTCCAGCATAGACTCTACCCTTGCAGTGCAGACCCTTTGGCTTCCTGACACAGACTCGCCTGGGACTCTTGTATTAAAAATTTTTATATTAAATCTGTTCCTTTAGTAACACTGACTGATACAGATTTTGGTACCAGAGAAATGGAGTCATTGTTGTGACTTTCCCTCACCATGTGGTTCAGAAGTCTTTGGAACTGGCTTGTGAGAGGAATTTGGAAAGGTTTGGAGAAGCCAATTGGAGAAGCAGCTCTAGAATGCTGTGAGCCAAGCTTGACAGGAGATTCTGGTTGAAGCTCAGAAGACCAGAGTGTTGACAGTAATACAGATCAACTTTAAGAGTTTTCAATTGGGAAGGACTCTGTTGGCAGCTGGGCTTCAGGCCATGTGTTACGCTTTAGCAAAAAAAATTTGTCTACATTTTACTGCTGTTCTGAGACTTTATAGAAGACTGAGGTTAAGGGCAACACTAATCTAGTGGAAGAAGTTTCAAGATGTAAAGTTGAGGTAATGGCCTGGCTACAGTTGAGGGCTTATTGTTTTGTTTTGTTTTTATCGGTACCAGGGATCGAACTCACAACTGCCTGCTTTTGCAAGGCAGGCGCTTATGCCGCTGAGCTAAATCCCCAACCCCCAGTTGAGGGATTTTTACAAACTCTACCTTGAGAATTAAGAGCAAATGACCCAGCTGGCTATGGTGTCATATGCCTGTAGTGCAAGAATTCCCTGTAGACTTGGAAGGCTGAGTCAGGAGGATGGCCACAATTTCTTTTTCTTTTTTTAAATCAGTACCAGGGATTGAACTCACAACTATGCACTTGCAAGGCAGGCGCTTATGCCAGTGAGCTAAATCCCCAGCTCAATGGCCACAATTTCAACCCAGCCTGGGACTACATAGTGAGTCCAGGGTCAGCCTAAACTACATAGGGAGACCTTGCCACAAAACAAAACAAAACCAAAACAAATGACCCAGAAGAATGAATTTAAAAGTTTTGAGTTTGGCTAGAAAGAAAGGTAAGACATACAAAGTTGATGAAGAGGAGAACTTAGTTGCTAAAATATTAGTACTGAGCTAGGCACGTTGACTCAAGCCTGTAATCCCAGCACTCAGGAGGCTGAGTTGGGAGGATCATTGCCAGTTCGAGACCAGCATGGGCTCCAAAGTGAGCTCAAGGCCAGCCTGAACTACATAGTGAGACCCTGTCTCAAAAAGACTAAATAAATAAATAAATAAATAAATAAAATATTACTATTAAAAAGGCAAATACTGGCCCAGTATATAGCTCAGCAGCAAAGCACCTGCCTATCTAGTGCAAGGTCATAAATTCAATCCCT